CATGTTAATTCAGACACCAGATGGTAGCAAATGGCTTTGTCTTATACCTCTAAATGTGTCCATGATCTAGCACCAAAATTGAGCAAACCTATCCAGAAGGAGATAACCCATGGCATCATAGCTCCCTTGCTTTGATTTTCAAAAGGCTTAAAGCCAAAAAATACTAGGGATTTAATTGAGCATCATTCATTATATTCAATATTTAAATTTATAGAATGTAAGGAAAGCTGACTGGGCAGAGAAACATGAATATTTTAAGAATGAGAGGATCTTGAGAGCTAGTAGATATATATGCTGTACAGTAGATAGCTAGGTTACACGCGGGGAATAAATGGATTGGCAGAATGGATAAATACATCTGGAGTATTCGGTGTTTTTAAAGAATACATTTAGTAAGCAAAAGAATACTTTGAAACGCTTATTTACTTTACTATTATTTGTATGAAGCTCTAATTTGGAAGACTGAATAACTATAGACTAAATAACCTCACAACCACAGATGTGGTCAAGAAGCATGTGAGCTATGGAGAATCTACTGTTGAGGGCCATTGTTTCCTGTCTATGATCTAGTGAGAAATAAGAAACAAGGACTAGGGGGCTGGAGAGATGGCTCAGTGGTTAAGAGCAAAGGTCCTGAGTTCAATTCCCGGCAACCACATGGTGGCTCACAACCATCCGTAATGAGGTCTGGTGCCCTCTTCTGGCCTGTAGACATACACACAGGCAGAATATTGTATATATAACAAATAAATACATAAAAATTAAAAAAAGAAAAGAAACAAGGACTAGGAAAGAGGGCTGCAGTGATTGGTAAAACTCAGTTGGGAAAGTACTCGCCCTGTAAGCCTGAGACACCGACTTCAGAACCCCCAGCACCTTGAGAAACTGGTGCTGGATTTGTAGATACAGGAGGATGCCCAAAGCCTGCTTGCCTAGGTAATAAGTATACTCCAAGACAATCAGTCAAACACAGTAGGGATTTGGGTGAGAGAATCTGTCCCTAAAGCTGAAGTGGAGGAACCACAGGTTCATCAGTGAGGTTCATCAGCGGAGGCACCTACTGGCAGACCCATCGGCCTAAGTTAAATCCCCAGAACCCACAACGTGGCAGAACACAACTGTCAAATGTAGTTCTCTCCTGACCATCACACACTTACACTTGGCATGTCTGGGGCATGTGGATCACACATATATGATTTTTTTAATGAGATGAAGAGAAATTTTCAAAGAGAACGTGAAGCACTAGCCTTCACATATGAACCAAAGCATACACAACATGTATGTAAGGGGCTGGGGGACAGAGTTATAGTTCAAGTTGAAAATTTCCTTATGAGATTCCTCAGCAAGCATGAAATGACCTAAGATTCTTGGTGATTTTTTTTTTTTGGCTTTGAGTTGACATTTTATGTGAAAATTTATCTCATGATACAATTTTCTGTGTTGCATATAACATAGCATTTAAAAACATATACATTAAGGGCTGGAGAGATGGCTTGGCATTTACAAGCTCTAGTTTTTCCTGTAGAGGACCCGGGTTTGATTCCTAGCACCCATATAGCAGATCACAAGAGTCTGTGATTCCAGTTCAGGAGATTCAACACCCTCTTCCTATGCGTGTGTAGCACATTGAAAATACATGCAGGCAAAACACTCAAACCTCAAAAAGTTTAAGTGTACACATAAAAAAGTATGTGGTTTTCTTAGCTAAATCCCTTTAAAGCACCCAATAAAGTGCTCTAAACGAGACAATGTAAAAGGATTTGTAAGCTAACTTCTTTGTTTTGCTTCTCATAAAGAAAGCCTAGGAGCTGCTCTTCCAAGGTGTGCAGGTTTCAGGTGCCTAGGAGCCTAAAGAAGGCACAAAACCCAGTGGTCTCCATGAAAGAAGAGCCTTAAACAGCAAGATCTCTGCCCTCCCTCAGGCTGCAGGTCTGGACCATATGTTTCTCCCTGGTAGACTCTTACTGTCCCCAACAGTTTCTGCCCCTCCTCAGGCCCTATTACCTGCCCCTCCACAGGCCCTACCGCCCCCCCCCCCCGCCTCCCCTCCCCTCCTCCTTTAGCCACCTGCACCCCCCTCCCAAACCCAACAGTAAATGTTCAAAACACTGGTTAAGTCTCCCCACTGAACCAAACAAGGGTCCTGCTAGGGCAAGTCCTTGGTTCAGAGTGAGCTGAACTCTGCTTCATCCTTAGCAACACAGTTCCACGGGCATAGTCACGCGTTGTGAGCCCATGTCAGATTCTGGCGATAAAAGCCTACAGCGGTCAGCATATGTAGACAAATATTGTATGTTTTCTCTTTTAAGGTTCTGATATGGGAACTACAATCTGAATAGCCACAGAGGTTTGGAACCTACTAAGGGACCAGGAGGGAGGAGAGCAGCTGTCAAGGAAAGGAAGTGTTGCAGGAGGTCCTCCCGCTCCTCCAGCCTATAGCTGCTGAGATACCAGCCCATTGGGGCGTGGTTTCTCTCCCTTTTAAAAAGGGGCCACTTCCCTCTCCTCTCTCTCTTCACTTCCTGCTCCGCAGGTGACTAGACTCCCTTCCTGGTTGCATAGAGGGCTGTTGCCTGGGACAGTGATCTGTAAGTTTTTTCCCCTTTAAATAAATACCACCCTATTAATCATAATTCCAAACTGGTGTGGCATTGTTTGTGACTTACGCCTTCAAGGAAGTAGTCTAAAGTGTTTGGAAGCTAAAAGGAAAACTAGAATTGGATGGTTTAATAAAAGGGGGATGGGACAGAAAGGTAAAGGAGGGAAAATGGAGAGGGATAATCAACACTAAAGGTCCTTTGAAAAACTATATGGAAACTGACTACCCTAGAAGCTTCCTATACATATGTGAAAGGAACCCACAGGGAGACAAAAAAACAAGGGAGAGAAGGCTTCAACTAGATCTTGTACCACTAAATTAAACCTCCAGTGCCAGGAACAGGTTACAGCCTGTTGTGTCATTAACCAAAGGGACCCATGGAAACCACCAAATAGCACAGCTATTGCCAAGGCTCTTGGTTGCTCACAAAACCTGATGTTAAGGTCTTGTTTCTGAAGGTAACACTTCTGTCACTGAATATGGAGAAGTTGAGCTGGTGTCTAACTAGATTACTCACCTACTAACCAGAGTTCACGGTACTGGAAGGTACTCTGCATGCTCCTGGAGGAGAAAGAGAGTCCTCAGTACCTCAGCACAAACCCTTCAACCTACAACCACACCCGCATGGAAGGAAGCTCACAGGCATCTGTAAATTCATTTCTAGGGGATCCAGCACCCTCTTGTGTCTTTTCAGGCATCACACATGCACACAGTGGACATACATATATGCAGACAAAACATACACAGACATGAAAGAAATGTGATCTATAAATACTGAGAAGTAGCCGGGCGGTGGTGGCGCACGCCTTTAATCCCAGCACTTGGGAGGCAGAGGCAGGCGGATCTCTGTGAGTTCGAGACCAGCCTGGTCTACAAGAGCTAGTTCCAGGACAGGCTCCAAAACCACAGAGAAACCCTGTCTCGAAAAACCAATAAAAAAAAAAAATACTGAGAAGTAATACATTTATGTAGGAAGTTCACTCTTAAAGTATACAACCCAGTAGGTTTTTTTAGTATGGTTTTTTTTTTTGGTTTTTTTTTTTTTTTTTTTTTTTGGTTTTTCGAGACAGGGTTTCTCTGTGGCTTTGGAACCTGTCCTGGAACTAGCTCTGTAGACCAGGCTGGTCTCGAACTCACAGAGATCTGCCTGCCTCTGCCTCCCGAGTGCTGGGATTAAAGGCGTGCGCCACCATCGCCCGGCTTTAGTATGTTCTTAAAATTATGCAACCATCACCCTACTGATTTTTAAAATATTTTTGTCATTCGAGGAAAAAAACCTTTATTCATTAGTAGCTACTCTTCATTCCTCCAGACCCCACCCCCATCAGTTACCAATCTAACTTTTTGCTTCAAGTGTCTCATTTACTAGAAATCAAATCATCTAATAAAGAAGTGACCCATTCTTCAGTCCTTTGGCTACTTTCAACTGAGCTTAATGTTTGTGATACTTATTCATGTTATAGGACATATCAGATCTCTACCCCTAGCCATGGCTAGAAACTAGACCACTATATTACCACACCACCCTTTGTTTACCCACTCATCAAGCAGTAGGTAATTGGGGCTTCTCCCTTTTTTCTTTTATGAATGCCCAGGTGCTAGTGCAGCCTCCCAAGGTAACTTGAGGCACAGGACACGTTGTAGACATTCTGCCAGTAGCCACTGTGCCCTTGAACAGGGACCACAAAGCTTTGAGTCTTCAAGAATTGATTTTCAATACCTAGAAACAGATGACGTTCTAGTAATGACTATCAAATCCTAAGTCCTGAATTTAGGTCACTGTGCAACTAGTTATGACAATTTGACACAAGCTAGAGTCATTTTGGAAGACAGAACCTCAATTGAGGAAAAAAAATCAAGACTGTCTGCAGACAAGACTGTGGTATGGGTGAGCCCAGCTCCCTAGGGACAGTGCCACCCCTGGGCAGGTACGGGGCTAGATGATATAAGGTAGACTGGCGAGCCACGAGGAACAAGGCAGTAAATAGCATTTCTCAGTGGTTTCTGCCTCAGTTCCTTCCTTAGATTCTGCCCTCTTGAGTCCCTGTCCTGATTTCCCTTGGTGTTGACGTGTGACCTGAGAGATTTAAGCTGAAATATATCATTTTGTCCCCGGGGTGCTTTTTGGTCAGTTTTCTCACGGCAGTGGAAATCCTAAGACACATAACTATGATCATATTTCCGCAGTTGCTGAACTCCCAAAACACATCTGCACTTTAGTGACTGAAAAGGTTTTGACTACAGTTTCGTGACCTGGAACATTTATCCTGATTCTGTCCAGATTATGGCTCATTTTCACCAACAGATTTAAGGTACCAAAGCTTCACTAACAATCTTGGTAACTAGTCAATAGTGCGGCCCCATCTTTAAAAACAACAACAAAAACTCTTTCATTTTAAAGCTTTATTTTTAATGGCAAGTCTGTGTGTGCGGTACGTGCACATGACTGTAGGCACCCTGGGAGGTCAAATGAGTGAATCCCCTGGACTGGAATTACAGAAGTTGTGAGTCCCTTAAGACGGGTGTTAGGAATCACACTGACTTTTAGAAGAGCAGCAAGGACTCTTAACTGCTGAGCCATCTCTCCAGCACCCAAACATAATTTCTTAAATACTGAATTACCTCTGGATTGGATTTAAACGCATTTCTAGCAGCAGTAGAAACCAGTGTTCACATAGCCCACTCTGTTGTCTTTGATAAGATGCAGGCTACTCAGCAGAAACGAAGGAGGAAATCTGTAAAGAAACACCAATGCCCAGATGGAGAAACAAGTCGGGAAGAAACTCCTCCTTGCTCAAGGTTTATGTGTTAAGCCCTAACACATAACAATTTTTTAGACATTTTTGGAAATACTTAAAATCCTGGAGATTTATAAATGTAGAAGAAAAAATCAAATCTAGCTTGAGGTGGTACTCCCCTTGGGAATCAGCAGTCATCAAGGCTGAAGGTCAACAAGTCAGGATTCTTTTATTATTTTTTTTTTTTTATTGAAAAAAAAATTTCCGCCTCCTCCCATTTCCCTCCCCCTCCTCCCACTCCTCTCCCTCTCCAGTCCGAAGAGCAGTCAGGGTTCCCTGCCCTGTGGAAAGTCCAAGGTCCTCCCCCCTCCATCCAGGTCTAGGAAGGTGAGCATCCAAAGCAAATGTACCTAACCTAAAGCCCAGGAAGATGGCTAATCTCTATCTAGTGCTGGATCTTAAGCTACAATTTGAAAATAAGCAATGTTTCATGATGTTTTGTAATAATTCGTATTCTAACACTTGTCATAAATTAGAATAAAGCTTGTTCTGCATCACTGTGAGGGATTTGGTAAAGCAACAAAAAGGATCCACTCATTTGTCCTGAAATGGTTTAGCATCCCTTCTATTACTAGTCTAAGCATTTTAGGAAATTCAACCCCCCCCCCCAAAAATTAATGGGGACAAATGGTATTTATCCATACTTTCATAACTCTTAAAAACTGTTTTAGCCAGGCATGGGAACTCAATGCAGGAAGCTGAAGCTAGAGCTGGGCCACAGTTCGAGGCTAGCCTCAGGTACAAACTAAGCTCCAGGCCAGCTAGGGTCACGTGAGACATGTCCCCAGACCACCACCACTACTCCCAACACAGAGACAAAACCTCATACCAACACCATGACTCCCAACAAACAAAACCTTAAAATGTGATTTACAACCTTCTGATGGTTAACATTAAAGGTTTAATTACTGTGCTTAAGATCTCTCTTTCTCTCTCTCTCTTCCTTCCTTCCTCTGTATGTATGTATGTATCTATCTATCTATCTATCTATCTGTCCCTAGCATGCAAACTCCTAACTTGTACAGGATGTCAGGCCACTCCTCCCACCCAACACATTTTTTTAAAATCAGATGTTGAAGATTTTTAAACTGTCTGATCCTGTTAAATCTGTTGTCCTAGCAAGATAAGACAGTGATTTTTGCTTTTGTAATCAAACTTGCTTACTCTGCTCAAAAAGATGACTAGGACAACTGCAAGACATTTATGTTAAAAAATTAGACCCTGCCTACATTTAGTCAGGATACATGAATCTTGTAGGTTTTGTCGTTACAAGTCCCAGGCTGATATGGCTAGACGCTGCATCTTGGGAGCACTCCCAGGAGCAGACCTGGTCCCAGAAATTAAAAGCATCTTATTATTTATTCATGGTCACTGCAGTGGTTTGAAAGAAAACAGCCCCCAAAGGAGCGACACTAATGGGTGCGGCTTTGCTGGAGTAGTTGTATCCTTGTTGGAGGGAGTGTGTCACTTGGGCGCAGGCTTTGAGGTCTATGCTCAGACTACTCCTAGTGTCACAGACTACTTCCTGTTGCCTGCAAGATGTAGGGCTCTCAGCTACAGGGACAGCACCATGTCTGCCTGCATGCCACCATGCCCCACCATGATGATAATGGACTGAACCTCTGAGCTATAAGCAAGCTACCCCTTTTCCTTTATAAGAGTTGCCACTGTCATGGTTTCTCTTCATAGCAATACAAACCCAAAATAAGACAGTCTGGTGAATCTCTGAGCAACTGCAGACTGTAACAATCAACTGGCCATTATATTTTCATATTAAATGTAACTATACTGAAGTACACTGTGGACAAGTGGGAGGAAAAATTTTAATCTATCTTACTCAATAGAATTTAACTAGCAGGCCTAGGCTACGCAGTGAATTCCAGGCCAGCCAAGGTAGAATAAGACCAAACAAACAAAAACCAAGAGGGCTGGGGATGTGGCTAACTTGGTGGAAACTTGCCTAGCATACATGAAATTCTGGGTTCAATCTCCAATCCATGCCTACAATCCAGTACTAGGAGGCAGAATCAAGAGGATGAGGAATAAGGTCATCCTCAGCTACAGAGTGTGTCTGAGGCCTGGGATCATGAGCCCCTGTCCCAACAACAAGCGTAGGAAGACTCAGAGTTTTTGGGTCAATCTATTTTAGTCAGAAACTTGAGCTTGTCACCAAGTCTAACCAAACTTACTCAAGTTGTGCTCCGACCTAAATGCACGCGCACACACACAAACACACACACTCAATAAAAACTAATTTTAAAAGTTTCAACTGACAAATGCAAAACAGTTCTTTATTACTACAGCATATAAAATATTTATAAGTAAACATGTAACACAGTTCAAGTTTAGAGGACTTCTTCATATAGACATACAGAAATATCTGCTTGTTTGTACCTCAGTGGACACTAAAGGAAAGGCCGTCTAAATGCCAGTAATATATTTAGACATTGAGGTACTTACAGATAGACACATCACTATCAGAGTTTCCATCTAGTTTATTTCCCTTTAGAGAGAAACTGTATTTTACCTTGGGCATCAGGCTCAAACCCTAGTATGGTGATGTTCACAGCAGCTTTGAAAAAGCTCTAAACGGCCATTTCCATCTTAATCGCTGGATGTGGATTATAACCTTCAATCTGAAAGTCTTCAACTCTGAAATCATCAATTGTCTCAACTTTTCGAAGAATTTTGAGCTTTGGGAAAGGTCTTGGCTCTCGCTGAAGCTAAAAATAAAATCATGGTTTTACTTTTTATCTGTTCCCGTGTCTCCTTTTGAAACAACACAGTATTTTATCACAAAGTACTTCTTTACAGCAGTGCTACAGGACTGTCTTTTCTTTCTGCAAGATTAGGGATTGCGCCTAAGGCCTCAGGAGAGCTATATTAGTAATCTGCCATCAGCTATGGTCCAGCTTTGTTTACCTTTTTATTCTGAGACAGGGTCTTAGTCAAGGTTATGTCTAGGCTTATGTTGAACCCACTCTGTAGCCCAGGCAAGCCTTGAACTTGGAATGTTCCTGCTCCAGCCTAAGTAGCTGTGATTACGGGCTGAACCCACCAGATAACTCCTGAGAAATACATTCAACATAGGGACACAATTCTTGACTTTTCTGAGTCTAACTTTTTTCCTTAATGTTCACAAAACATGGACACTCATATATTTACTACCATTTCAACTCATTTGTTGGCTGCTGTATTATAGGAATTTGAAAGGAATTTAAAAAGACAGACTTTTTAAAGTTTAGTACTTAAGCATAAAACTAAAGTCAAACATTTATTTTTCAGCTCTTCAAGTAAAATTATGAGGTAAAATGCGTATCTCCTGGCTCTTTTCTCTGGTACTGATGCTTCCGTGTCCTGTGTTTGTGGTTGCTAAGGCCGATGATGGCCTCATTTCCGCTCATCTCCCTTATTAAAAGCCCTGCATTTGGAGCACTTCAATATAAGACAGCATCAACCAGAGTGCCTGTGATACAAAGGATGCCCTGCACCCAATCTTTTGTCAAGAGAAGGAACCAAGCTCAAAAAGAAATGTAACAGGTATATTTCTTACCTGAATTTTCAGGGGCTCGATATGATTCAGGTAAATATGTGCATCTCCCAAGGTGTGGACAAAATCCCCTGGCTAAAAATGATCCACAGGAGAGAAAACAGCAGTCAATATTTTCGTCTAAATTCTTTAAGAACACATGTTAAAACAGACTAGGGCTGTGAGACGGCTCCATGGGTAACGGCCCTTGCCAAGCCTGACAACTTGAGCTTGATTCCTGGAAGCCACACAGAAGAAGAGAAAGGACTCACGCAGACTGTGCTCTCGTCTATGCACAGACTGTGGAAAATGTGGACCCCCATGTGCACACACACAATAGTACATTCTACAGGGTACGCATACAGTTCAAAGCTTTCCACAAAAGTAACTTTTCCAGTGCTGTTTTTGAGAAAAGTTAATTTTTTAGGTTTTTAGGTTGTGCATGATGGCTTACACACATAGTCCCAGTAGTTGGAAGGCTGAGAATTGGCATCGTGAACCCGGGGAGAGTGGGACCTAAAGTCTTATGCAAAAGTCAACTTTATTCAGAGCATCATACAATTTATACTCTGAGGGTTAAGAGTCCCGTGAGTAAACTATACAATCACAAAGACCAGAAACACATGGCAAAAACATGTTTTTCCACTGAGACACATGAATAACAACAGCTGAAATAAACTCACTCCTATCTGCTACACCTGGGAGGAGCATGAAACTACAGTCCAAGAACAAGTTTGTATTGAAGAAACTGAAGTCACAAGACTCTTGTTTTCTCACACGCACTGCAAGTTCTCAAGGCTCCATTCTTGGACTGTGTTCTGACACTGAGACAGGAGGATCACTGTAGGTCCAAGGCTAGTCTGGACTAGAGAATGAGACCATGTCTCAAAAACAAAAACAAAACAAAACAAACAAACAAACAAGCTACCCATATGAATGTTAGTTTCCTTAGGCAACAAGGTACCAGAAAGCTCCAAGGAGGGTTATAAGGTGAGCCAGTACATGTTTTATTTACATGCATAAAATTTTAATACTAATCAGACTGAATTCCCTGCTATGAGTTAGTTTATTCCATTGGCTATAACCACGTCTTCTGAAAGCAGCTCACCTTTAGGCCTGTGATGTGTGCAATCATGTATGTAAGCAGGGCATAGCTGGCAATGTTGAAGGGCACGCCCAGGCCCATATCTCCCGACCTCTGGTAGAGCTGGCAAGACAGCTCCCCATTCGCTACATAGAATTGACAGAGGGCATGGCAAGGAGGCAGTGCCATCAGGGGAAGATCTGAGGGGGTCAAAAGTAAAAGAAGGAGGGGTTTTAGAGAAGAACACAGCTATAAAAAAGGTAAAATACAAAACAAGCCAAGCACGAAAGAAGCCATGAAGTTACAGATACATACAATTCACTTTCCCATTCTGTCAAAGTCAGACCATTTTCCCAGCCCTGCAGCAGAGGTGCATAAGGAATCAGCAAGTGTACATTTATGCTGAAGCAATGCTCATCCAGCTGAGCTAAAATTAAGAATTTGGGCTGCTGTTGATGGCACCAAATAAAAGGAAATTATTCTTTTTGCAAAGGCCACAGGAAACTGGAATCTGGGGCACATCTTTCTGGTTAAGTATCTATTAGAAATATGAAACGTTCCTTCCTGGATACTCACTATACCCTGGTAGAGTTTTATACTCTACTTTCAAGTTAACACCCGAAACTTTGTGTGCTCCAAATGAAAAAGATAAAACCATAGGTGCGTTTTACAGGCAATTTTATGCTCCTTTAATGTAAATGCATAAAGATCGTGTGGGTCTAATGAAGGTAGAAACAGAGCAAAGTGTGACTGTGTTGATCAACCACGTGACTGGAGACAGTTCCAGTGACCCGCAGTGCCTCCGGCCACCTTGCTCCCTTTGGCTAACTGGCCAGTTTAGCCAAAGGAAGATGGTTGGGATGCTGTCTACCTTTTGGGTTCCAGGCACACATGATGATTCTTCTGTCATCAGGGCTGGTTTTGATGGTGTCAATCACTTTTTGCAGCTGGTCTACTCCTTGACCCGAGTAATCTGCAGAATTGTCAGGAGAGCACATGCGCATTTACGTCACATCGGTCACAGCCTCTCATGTGATGACCCTGACAGCATCCACTCAATGCCCCCACCCATAGTTCTAATATACCCAGCAATTCTAAGTATTTCTCAGATCTTGCTGGGTTAAGCTCAATGTCCTTACACTAAAATCTAAGTTCTTTTCTACACAATATTTATTCTGTTACAATGTCACTCCCTCCCCTTAATACTGCCCCTGTTGCTAACTGCTGTTTGGCTGTGTTTGAATGTGTCACTCAAAGGTTCATGAGTTGAAACGTAATTCTCATTTTTGGGTAGAAATTTAAATCAATTACAGAGTCTTTAAGAGGTGATCAGGGGGCTGGAGAGATGGCTCAGTGGTTAAGAACACTGGCTGCTCTTCCAGAAGTCCTGAGTTCAATTCCCAGCAACCACATGGTAGCTTACATCAGTCTGTAATGAGATCTGGTGCCCTCTTCTGGCCTGCAGGTATACATGCAGGCAGAACACTGTATATGTAATAAATAAATAAATAAATCTTAAAAAGAGGTGATTAGGATGAGAAAGTCATCAGGGTGGAGTTCCATGGGGGAATCCTGGTGGCGTCACAAGGAACCAAAGGAGACACACTTCTCACCTTTCACACCTAATACTGTGTCACCTGGTGTGACTATCATCAAAATGTGGGCACCGAACCACCAGGACTGAGATCTAAGTTTCCTTATCTACTGGGTAATTGAATGTGGGGCTGTGAAAAACTAAACATACAACATGCAAAAACGAATCCAAATTTAAACGCGTAAAGGAGCTGAGGTGGCTGAGAGAGCTCCCCAGTACGGCGTGTGGCCATTCACTGCAGACACGGTTCTGAATCCAGACACGCTTTTCACCGGACACGCTGGTATAACACGAAGCACCAACAAATGCCGCCTGAAACACTTCAGCTTGTATTAAAACAACTGAATATGATAACTGTGGCATGTTACTGTACATACAGCTTGCTGCTTTTGTAGAATCATAACGATCTAATTATGAAAAACCAGGGCTGCTAACATTAACTCTCATTCTTTGGCATATATTCAAGTTAGTCTATCTTTGGTTTCGTTGGATGGGAGGGTTGTTCTTAATTTTTAAACTAGTATTATTTTCTGTGTGTGTCTGATGTGTGTGAGTAGGAGTGGACGTGCCAGTGCACACAGGGAGGTCAGAGGACAACCTTCGGGAATTTTCTCATTGCACTCAGCATTCTCGAGAGTGGACTCAAGTCGTTAAGCCTTGGGTAGCGAATGCTTTCAGCCACGGGCGGTCTCACCAGCCCAAATCAGCGTGTCTCTGGATTCTATTACGGTAGAATCTTTGGTTTTCAAATGGACTTTGGTTTCATAAAAACATCATTCAATGAACTCTGGCTTGCAATGAAAACAGAAATGCCGGCAGTTTCTGAGATGGCAAATGTGCTTCTGTCATTTTGTACTACACGTTTCTGTGTGCACAGCTCTCATCACTGACAAGTCTGGAATCAAACTATCAATAAACTCTGAAAATGCCCTACAACCTACTTTCCGACAAGACTTCATTCTTTATGTTAAAATTGATAAGCACACCCCATCTCATTAATGTGTAAAATTTCTTTTCATCGTTAATAAATAATAAGTGTATTATTTATTAATAAATGCTAAAATTACATGTACGACAAAGAATTATCACAGGGTAAATTTTTAATGATTTATAAGCAATAAATATTTGGTTTGTGTACTTGTATACCTCGGGCTACATAAAAAATTTCTTGGGCAAAAAAAGTCACAGTGAAAAAAAGTTTAAGAAACCTTTGCTCTAAATAAGCCTCTTTTCTTCCAAGCTAGTTAGCTGTAGATATTCTGGCATGGTAACAAAAAACTATACTAATCAGATCCAATCCCAGCAGTTTTAGATTTTTCCCCACGTTCCCATGTGATATAGTTTCTCTATCTAACAAGCACCACGGTCACACTTCACCAACACAATCTGTTATTGTCCCTCAGGACACTGGATCTTAAAACTGAAAACAGCTTGTCATAGACAGTCAAATGACAAACTATAGAGAACTTTCTAGGGCTTAGGCACTGTCCTACCCACACTTCCACTAAAAGGACGAGACAATTTATCACTAAGCACACCACTGACTTACAACTCCCAGACAAACTGTAATAAGATTATGATCTTGTACTTTTTCCAGTTCTCGTCCTTGGCCTTTAATCCCCTGCCCCCTGCTGAGGTGTGGAAGCTGAGAGGTGATTTATTAACAAAGACCAGAACTCCATAGACTCTCCTCCGGATGTACTTTTACCAAGGTTAGTCAGTCAGTGTTCTGGCAGAGTTGGTTCTCTGAGGGAGGCGTTCCCAAAAGCCCAGCTCCAAGAAGGCAATATTAAAGACTTGAGGAAATGCTCTACAGCTAGACTGTGGTGGTGACTTTGTAATCTGTGTTAAAAAAAAATCTGATAAATTTCAGAACGAATTGTAATTATTTCTTGTAGGGGAGAAAGGGAGAAAGAACAGGAAAATTATCTGCATTAAAAAACATTTAAATCTACAAGAGCTAGTTTCAGGACAGCTTCAAAAACCAGAATAAATAAACGAATAAAAATAAGACAATTAGCTAGGAGTTGTGGTTTATACCTTTAATCCCAGCACTCAGGAGACAGAAGCAGGAGGATCTCTGTGAGTCTGAGGCCAGGCTTGTCTATAGAGAGAGAGTTCTAGGATCATCAGGGCTACACATAGAAACAACGTAATAAAACAAACAAAATAACCAAAAACAACCAAACAAAAAATGGTCAGGTGAATGACCATGATGGCTCATTCCTATAATTTTACCAGGTGAAAGGTAGAGACAGGAGGATGAGGAGTTGAAGGCCAGCTATGGCTCAGAAGACCTAGCCACCCACCCCCTCAAGACAAATCCCAGCACTTGGGGAGGGCAGAGGCTGACAGTTCAAGGGCAGCCTTGTCTCTCATAATTAGTTCCAGGCTAGCCAAGCTCTTATGGTGAGATTCTGACTCCAAATGAATAAGATAAAGTAAGCACACACATTAAATTTACATTAAAACTGCTTTTTACATTTTTACTATGTTATGTGTGGCCTATGCTATGGCACGTGTAGCCTAAGAAGCTGTGGGAACAGATTCTCTCTTACCACATGGGTTCCTGAGGATCAAACACAGGTCTCCAAGCTTGGAAGCAGGGACTTTGGCTGCTGAGCCATTCACACTCCATGCAGCATCACACTATTCTGTTGCAGAACTTCTCAAGTAACTCTATGCTCACTGACACTATCACAATACACTCCAAGCCCAGCAACCTCTTCTCTTCTTTCTGCCTTTACCAATTTACCAATTTAGTCCACAAAGACGTCCACAACTTCCAAACATCACCAGCGTTGAAAACATCTTGATTGCAGGCAAACACAACTGAAGAATTTGGGCGCTAGGCCTGTCTTAGTATTCTATCGCTGTGAAGAGACACCATGACCATGACAACTCTTATAAAAGAAAGAGTGTATTGGGGCTTGCTTATAGTTTCAGAGGTTTAGTCAATTGTCAGCATGGTGAGAAGCATAGCAGTATCCAGGCAGACATGGTGCTGGAGAAGCAGCTGAGAGTTCTACTTCCAGAACTACAGGCAGCAGGATAAGAGGCATTGGCTTCCAAAACCTAAAAGCCCATCCCCAGTGAGACACTTCCTCCAACAAGGCCGTAGTCTTAATCCTTTCAAATGACACCACTCCTAAGCATTCAAACACAGGGGCTTACTTGAGCATGGGGGCTTTCTTATTCAGACCACTACAAAGCCCAAATTCTTCCCACTGGCTAGAAGGAGCTGAAGAGACCCTTGAAAAGAAAAGCATACTGTCCAGGCTGCTGGTGTCTGCTCAGCCAGTAATTTATTACTTCCTGCACACATGAGCATACATACACATACACTAGTGAGACATTTTAACCTTTAGAACCTGGCCTAGGGAGGCTGGTCTCTGTGACACTCAAACAGTACCCAGAAAGAGGAGATGCCAGTCACTACATGAGGAATTTTCTTAACCTCTGTCCCCACAGAGCAGGAAGGGAAGGGTGAACGGTACGGAGACACACAAGTTTGCAAGTGCTTCAGCATTGCAAAGGGGAATGTTCATCATGGGTAACTCCTGCACCTCATCCCGGAGGAACCTCCTTCTATCCTAAACCCTAACACGGTCAGGACAGACCAAATCTCCCACCACTGGCCAATGACACAGGTAGAGAAAGTTCCAAGCATCCGATAATGCCCAGTAAATGCTAGGCACCACGAGTATGATTTGGCCTTTGTGACATTTTGCCGTGGCTTCTCCACTATTACCCAGCACAGCTTCTCAGAAATCAGTTACTTACAAACTCCCACGATGTGGACTTATCTCCCACATCTATGATGGATCTTTGAGGAAGCACAAAACCTGAGGCTATGATATCTCCTCACCTGATTCCATATCTTTGTAGTCTGCGCCAAAATGTCTCCACTGGAAACCATAAACTGGGCCCAGGTCCCCTTCCTGTCGTGCAGAGAATCCCAGGCTGTCCAGAAAATCTCGGGACCCATTGGCATCCCAGATTCTCACTCCTTTGGAGGACAGTTCTTTAGCATTTGTGGATCCCTGAAAGATTGAGAATAGAATAGGCACACAGGAGGATTCTGTGTTACTCATCCCCTCCCACGGCACACTATCCACATGCAGCCTAGCTTTAAGCAGGCTGGTCCTGGCAGGCTTCTGAGGGAGTATAGAACGGTCTTACCCTATTAGAAATTTCCTCAAGGCATTTCTTCTATTCCTTTCAACTTTCCAAAGTCTTTGTATATGTATACATACATGTAAGCATGCCATGGTGCATGCCCACAGGAGCTGGTTCTCACTTTCTACCTTATTTGAGTTGGGTGTCTCTCTTGTTCCTGTTGCTATAATACCTATCCCAAGCTAGCAAGTTGTGAGCTTCCAGTAGATTTCCGTCTCCATCTCCCATAGAAGTACCAGGATTAGACGGCACTACCACATAGGGCTTTTTTGTTTTCTCTGGGTAACATTCCTGGCTGTCCTGGAACTGCTTCCCAAGTGCTGGGATTAAAGGTGTGGGCATCAGCACCTGGCCCAAAGAGCTTTTTAGGAGGACTCCAGGGATCCAAGCTCAGGCTGTCAGATTTGTGTGGGGCCAAGTGCTTTACACCCACTGAGCCATCTCCCCAGCCCTCCCTTCAATTCTTTTTTTTTTTTTTTTTTTTTTTTTAAGTTTTTCGAGACAGGGTTTCTCTGTAGCTTTGAAGCCTGTCCTGGCACTAGCTCTTGTAGACCAGGCTGGCCTAGAACTCACAGAGATCCGCCTGCCTCTGCCTCCCAAGTGCTGGGATTAAAGACGTGCGCCACCACCACCTCGCCTTCCCTTCAATTCTTTAAATACCTCCAAGTTCCTAAAACATTTCTACCTCATCTGCAGCTTTGAATTCCTTCATAAAACACATTCCATGTCGAAGTGTGATACTCCAAGTGGACTTGTCCAATGCTCCATGTGCGGTCTGTTCATGTGTCATATCTGGCTATCTGGAAAATGTGTATGCATGGGTACCCAAGCCCACGGAAGCCAGAGAGAATCCTGGCTGTTCTACTCTATTTCTTCCTATCCTTTCCCTGAGACAGGGTCTCCGAGTAAAGCTAGAGCTTATTTGGGCGAGAAGCGTGGCCAGCAATCACCAACGTCCTCCTGTGTCTCCCTTCCCATTATAGCACTGGGGTTACAGACACACGCACTCACACCCAGCATGTTTTAAGCTTCATTTCTATGTTATGTGTATGTGTGTGTTGCCTGCATGTGTCTGTACACCATGTGCACACAGTACCCAAGGACAGTAGAAGAGGGAGTCAGATAGCTTGAACTGGACTTACAGATTGTTAGCCACTAACTGTGTTGAATGGGTGCTAGGAACTAAATCCTAACCCTCACCCTGAACATGAGCAACAAATGCTCTTCACCACTGAGTCATCTCTCCATTCCACACCCAGAATGTTTTATGTGACAACTGGGGCGGGATGAACGCGGGCCCTCTTTGCCTACTGAGTCAGCATCCCAAGAACTCTAATCTTTAGAGCCAATGCCTCTAAAGAAGGGGCTGAACTTATTGTATGGCCCAGATCTCATCTTGTCTCCAGGAGTACTCTTCCAGCACTGGACAGAACCTCACTTTTTCTGGACCAGGATACAGAGCAGGAACTTGGGGCTCCTGCCATTTGTTACCACACCACTCCAGTATAATCCAGGTACCTACTTGACCCTGGTATCTACCAATTCAGCCATCAATAATGCTGAGCACCTACCATGTGGCTGGCTGTATTTTAGTCCTGAGATACAACAGGAAAGAGGAGAAGCAGATTTTCTACCTTAGGGAACTCACAGGACATTGCACTTATTTATCTCCCACCCAGAAGAGGGAAAGCTGAAGGCTGAGTTCTAGGTCAGCTGATGGTGTTTCCTACAAAGAGAAACAGAGGTGACAGGAAGGTCAAGGGCGTTGAGTGGGACTGGAAGGAGGAGAGAACCATCCTCCATATGGAAGGAAAGGCACTAGGTAATGGGAATGGCAAGTGCCAGAGGCCTGGGCAGGATTCTCCCAGTGGGCTCAGATCAGTGATGAAAGCAGGATTGGAAGGACACAGAAAAGCATCTAGAGCCAGCACTAGAAAATGAGCCAGGGATGTGGGAATGGCTGACAGCTACAGCTTTGACTACTACTACCTCTTTTATTTTTCTTGGTTTTTCGAGACAGGGTTTCTCTGCGTAGTTTTGGAGCCTGTCCTGGAACTTGCTCTGTAAACCAGGCTGACATCGAACTTACATTGATCCGCCTGCCTCTGCCTCTGGAGTGCTGGGATTAAAGGCGTGCGCCACCACTGCCTGGCTCACAGTTTGACTTCTAAGGCTTGATTTGAGAAGACAGGCAGCTTCCAAAAGCAGCAGCACCCTTACCTTGATAAACCACAGCAACTCCTCCAAAACGCCCTTCCAGAACACTCGTTTGGTTGTGAGCAGAGGAAATTCATCTGAAAAATAGGTTGTAACACAGTTAAAATGTGGTAAAATACAGCGAGCCGTCATTCAGCTTTCTCTGTGGAGGGAAACGACCTGGGGGCAGACACACACACACACACACACACACACACACACACACCCGGAGTGGTTTCAGGAAAACTGGGAACTCCCACCCAGCTTCGGGCTAAATCACTGAAACCACAGGTCTGCATTGACACAGAGGTATCCATATGGCAAAGAGGAGTCCTCACCCACTACAGAGCCACTATCACTGTCACTGGGGTTTAACAGCAACATCCAAAATGTGGCCTAGACACAACCTAAAGGCTCTCATACCCAAGTCCACCACGCCCCAGGAAGAGCGATATCACTCTGGTAAAAACTGAAAACGTTTTCAGACATTTGGGGAGCAAACTGACCTAGCATCTGAAAACAGAAATGTTTAAGCCTCCGAACCCGAAGGCAAAACAGAAGAGAGACAACGGGGCAGGGCAGGAGCTCAATCAACAGACAAGGTAAAGAGGAAAGGCTCAGAGTCTATGTTTGTCAGAGAGCAATACTTTCCTCTTTACAGTCTACATGGGAAAGCTGAATGAAGATTAGAGAAGCAGAATAACTTGTCTACAGTATCAGCAGAGGAAAGGGACTAAAACTGGGCATCAGAGTTCACTGATCTAGGAGGCCCTGGGCACTGGGTTAATCCATGCAGTAGCTCCTGAAGTTCCCACCTCCAGAACATGCTTAAGTATACCCTCACTCAAAGTCTTGTGCTTGACGTCTGATGCCAGGAACCCCAAAAGAGCACTTCTTCCCTGGGGCCACTCTGTAGGCTTACACATCCTGAGTTGCTCTATAAAAGCCAAGGCTGTCTGGGGAAACCCCGCAGTTTCCGCCTCAGGCTTGGGTTCTTTTTTCTGTGCCGCTTAAACACCGCCTAAGCCATTTTCGCGCCAATTTTTAAAACAGTTGCAAAGGGGAGCAGGAGAAGTAAGAGGAGGAGCACAAGTCGGGACCTCAGGGCAAGGTTTGGGCAGGTTTCTTCTACCCTGACCCTCGGAGACGCACGACCAGTTGGAACTTAATGGGGGTTAAGAACAAGAGGCCTTAAGGACCAGGTTTACCTGCAGTAGCTATCACCTTGAGGCTCTAGGGCGGGAACGCAGAGCTTAGGACTCTTTGAGCCAGGGTCAGACTAACCGCGGCCGCCAGCCCCGCGCCTCCGCGCCCCCGCGCCCAGCCCACCGCTGGTCCTCCCGCAGTCCCTCCCGGTAGTGGGGACTAGCCGCGGTCACCTCTCAGGTTGTATCTCGCCTGCATGCCGAACACCGACAAGGTGCCGGTGCCCGTGCGGTCCTCCTTCTTGAAACCGCAGCGCATAATGTGCTCCACCTGACCCAGATACTGCAGCTCCCCGTGCCCCGGTGCCTCCGCGCCCTGTTGCTGAGCGGCGGGCTGCAGCTTCAGCTCGGAGCCGGCGACCGGCATTGCGGACAGTTAGAGGCGGTGTGTAGGCGCCAAAGACCGGACCTTCCGCGCGCTCTTTTCCGCGCCTCCCGCCCCTTCCTGCTGGGAAGCTTCTGACTGGCCACGATCGTCAGACCCCCGCCCACGCGCCAGCAGAGCAAACACGCGCTGGAGTTCCCAATTCTCTTGATTTATCCTGTCTGCCTTAAGAGCCTATAGGTTCAGGGCATGGTGAGGCACGCCAGTAATCCCAGCTCGTGGGAGGTCGAGGCCAGAGGATCTGGAATTTAAGACAATCCTTTTTTTTTTTTTTTTTTTTTTTTTTTTGAGACTGGGTTTCTCTGTAGCTTTGGAGCCTGTTCTGGAACTAGCTCTAATGTATACAATATTCTATCTGCGTGTGTGTCTCCAGGCCAGAAGAGGGCACCAGACTTCATTACAGATGGTTGTGAGCCACCATGTGGTTGCTGGGAATTGAACTCAGAACCTTTGGAAGAGCAGGCAATGCTCTTAACTGCTGAGCCATCTCTCCAGCCCGAAGATGCACATTGTTAAAAATAATGATGGACTTCCAAGCATGCTTTTTTTTAAAAAAATACTTATTTATTTATTTGTTATGTATACAATATTCTATCTGTGTGTATGCCTGCAGGCCAGAAGAGGGCACCAGACCTTATTACAGATGGTTGTGAGCCACCATGTGGTTGCTGGGAATTGAACTCAGGACCTCTGGAAGAGCAAGCAATGCTCTCAATTGCTGAGCCATCTCTCCAGCCCTCAAGCATTCTTTATAGTGTGTACATTTAGTGTGCGAGGGGTGTGTGTGTGTGTGTGTGTCCGTCTGAGTGCACATACGTGCAGATGCTCCATAGGCTTCTTTCTGCTCACACATTGGAAGTGTGGGACAACTCAGGCTGTCAAGCTTGGTGGCAAGCCCTTTACCGACTAAGCCATCTCTACCACTCTGCTCAACTTTTCAAATTTTAATGCCTCATTTTTCAGTTTTAAGGGAAGGCTTCAAAGGTAAATACTGGTGAGTAGAATCATTTGATGAGTACAAAGTGTACTGATACACGCGTTGTACGTGCAACAAGAGATCTGTGTCTACCACTTTGAATACATGGTAGGTACCCAACACACTTTTTAAATTTTGGTTATGTCTGGGAATATGAAGAATAGGATTGGGGCTCTACTGAAATGTACTAAACACTACCAACTTTTTCTTCTGCTGAGAATTGAACCCAGACTTCCCACATGTTCACACCACCCCTGAGCGATAAACCCAGCCCAAGCCTGTATTTGTTCCCCCCCATCTCATGTTTGTCATTTTTGCAAATGGTATGCATTGGGTAAGAATCCCCCCCAAAGGCCTATGTATTAAAAGACTTGCTGACCAAGTGGGATCCAGTGACCAGAAGTAGTCATTTTTGAAGGCAACATTGGGATCCTGACTGCTCCCTTTTTTTCTTTGCTTCCTCCCAGCTATGAGGCAAGCAGGGTCTAACTTCACTCCAGAGAGACATGATAGCATGGTGTGTATGACAGAGTAAGGGGCTGTTCCTCCAAGACAAGAAGACAACTAAAACAAGCAACCATGTTCTGAAACCTTCAGCCAAAATAAAGCGTCTTAAGTTGACGGTCACAGTGGAAGGAAATTGACAGCACCATTCTCCTGTCTCCGTGCTAAAACTCAGCCTCAAAAGCTCCAGTTCAAAGTGTCTATGTTGTTGGACTGGACAGCAGGCTCGGCAGTTGAGAGCACTGGCTGCTCTTCCAGGGGACCCAGGTTCAGTTTCCAGCACCCACATAGCAACTCACAACTGTCTAATTCCTCTTCTGGCCTCTGTGGGCACCAGACACCTACATAGTACAAAGACATACATGCAAGCAAAACACTATATGCATAAAATAAAATAATTGTAATAGAAATAAAAATTTTATGATGGAATATGTACTATAAGAGATTACATAATCATCTTTTATTTGCAGCCCTGTTTATTTAGTTATCTAAGATACTGTTAAGTGTTTCTTTGTAGTCTTGTTTTGTAAAAAAAAAATTCAAATTTCAAAAGGAATTTATAGAAATGGTTGGCCATTTTGGCTTAACTACAAGTATCATGGGAAACATTTCGCAAGCTTAGTAGTGGGAAATTGGCATTCTTGCTGTGTAATTGTGAGCGGAAATGCACCGAGCTACAGGATAACAGAAAACTGAAAATCTATTTAGTTCAGCACAATGTTAGTCTGGCTTTTCCTACATCAACATTCACCCCACTGCTTCTCCACCCAAACTCTTACTAGTGCAGTGCAGTTCTTCCAAATCATTAGTGTTTCCTTTGGGAAGTCAGATCCTCCTTTATGAAGGAGGGAAAAAAGAAATATATTTTCTTTACCTATCACAACGTCATGACTAAAGCTGTATAACAAAGAGGTTAATAGAAGGCTAATATAAGTTTATTAATATGTTTACATAACACGGGAGAGACTTCAGGCCAAAGGTTAAGAATATCTTTAGGTAGCACCCAATGCCTATAGGGAAGACTTCCCTACTTTACTATAATTTTTTGGTTTTGGATTTGAGGGGTGGAGGGCAGTTGTGTAGACAATGACTGAGGATAAGAGTCTGCTCTCCTGGCAGTGGGGAAGGGGGTGGGTGGGACTTGGCAACACCTGTCTTTTCAGGTTTGTGTTGACTCTTAACAGGGTAGGGCTTTCTGGGACGGTCCTCTTTCCAGGAAACGTAGGTCAAAGAATTTTTGTAAGTCCTGCTTTATGTGAAAGGTAGGACACAATGAGAGCAATCTCCCTACTTCCTTCAGCTAAAAATACACAACACGTAAATGTGGCATATTTGAATACTGTGTAGATAAAAGTTTCTGTATCACCTGGTCCCACAGCCATTCAGTCCCAAATAAACACACAGAGGCTTGTATTAATTATAAGCTGTTTGGTCTACTGCTCAGGCTTATTTCTTTTTTTTTTTTTTTTTTTTTTTTTTTTGGTTTTTTCGAGACAGGGTTTCTCTGTGGTTTTGGAGCCTGTCCTGGAACTAGCTCTTGTAGACCAGGCTGGTCTCGAACTCACAGAGATCCGCCTGTCTCTGCCTCCCGAGTGCTGGGATTAAAGGCGTGTGCCACCACCGCCCGACCTCAGGCTTATTTCTAACTTGCTTTTACAACTTAAATTAACTCATAATTCTTATCTATGTTTAGTCACATGGCTTGGCACCTTTTCTCAGAATGGCATTCTCATCTTGCTTCCTCTGAGTCTGGCTTGTGACTGTATCTCTTCCTTTCCTCTTTCCAGAATTCTCCTAGTCTGGTTGCCACACCTATACTTCCTGCCTGGCTACTAGTCAATCAGCATTTTATTAAACCAACACATGTGACAAATCTTTACAGGGAACAAGAGCACTGTCCCACAGCAATACTGTATGCTGAATTCTTCTATGGTTGTACTATGTACTTTCTGATGGTCGTTTCGAAAGACATGGGTGCACTGTCAGAAGTCTGAGCAGAGAAAACAGATGGGCTGGTATTCATTTGAGGAGAACACTTCTAGATGTACAGAGATGAGGGACTGAGTGGTTGAGGTTATGGGTGTCAGGGAACTGCAGGACTTCCTTCAGGAAACTTTTTCTGGGGCTTTGAATAGGACTGAATGTGATTGTCTATCATAATGCAGGATGCCGGTATGCCTTCAGAAAACCAGCCAAATATATACATTTTTCCAACCAAAAAGTGCCCACATACTTTTTAGCCGCTAGCAGAATCCTAGGCAGAACATATCCCAGACTATCCAGTTGCATGTCACTTTTGTGCTAGTTTTCTCTAGGTTGAGTCTGATCTTATTTTTCTACCCAAGATCAGCTGATCAAGAACCAAGAGTAGGGTCTCCCGCGCTCATGAAATAAAATCCTTCACCATGACCTTCTTTGAGGACCTTGTTTTGATGGAAAGGGTCCTTCTGGCTACGGAATACAAGCTAAGCCAGAATAAATGATCCCCAAAAAATGAACTCATTCAACAAACATCTCTATCCCAATGCCTTGCTTATTTATGTCAACAAGGAAAAGACAGGCAAGGACCTGGTCTTCATGGAACTTGTTTTTCAGCAGAGACAATCAGAAAGTTCCCAAGCAAGTGTTATGCCCGGACGTGACACAAAGTAGAACCTAGGTTCACTAATGAGGTTTATGTTGGTGTTAAGCCTCACTAAACCTCTCAGGATTCAGAGGGATCGCTATAGCAGGCAAGCCTGACTAATAAAGTCTGAGGACACATAAGTCCCTTTACCAGGCCCCATTTGTTCTTCCTGTGCTCTCTCCAACACTCGCTTGATGTTTCCCTTTGATGTTCCTAGCTGTCCTCAGGATTCCAGTTTGCACACCCACACAGACATAGCAAGCACGCGGCTTTCCACACTGATGCCTTCTCCTTCCTGGCATGCACAGAGCAACACATGACCCAGTCTAGAAGCTAAGAAAATAATCTTGGACTTTCCACTCTCCAGAATTGTTCGGTAAATAAAGCCTCATTTCTTTGAAAATGGTTTTGTCTTTCATTTCCTCCCTCACTTCCTTTTCATCCCATCTGCCTCGCAACCTGTGATGCTAGGGATGGAGCCTAGATCTTCACACATGGGGATGGGGTGAGATGGAGTCATCTTCTGTAGCCCTGGATAGCCTTGTCCCTGTTATATCCCCCTGCTGGCCTTGAACTCTCTGAAACTCTCCTGCCTCAGCTTCTAACTGCCGAGAGTGTAGGTGTGCATTCCCACTTTGGGATTGCTTTGATTTCTTGAGACAGAGTCTTCCATAGCCGAGGCCAGCCTTGAACTCCTGGTCTTCTTGTCTCTACCTCTTTACACTTTTTGTTGTTGTTGTTCTTTCAAGACAGGGTTTCTCTGTAGCTTTGGCGCCTGCCCTGGAACTAGCTCTTGTAGACCAGACTGGCACAGAGATCCGCTTGCTTGTCTCCTGAGTGCTGGGATTAAAGGCTTGCTTCTACCTCTTCAGTGCTGGCAAGGTCACATACAGGCATCTGCCACAACACTCAACCCTCCCCCCTTTTTAACATGGTTGTTGTTATGAGTAGTTAAACTTAGTTTTCAAATTATGCTACAACTTGCAGGTTGACAAAAAGAAAAAGGTCAGATTCCCTCAAAACAGGCTGAGTCCCAATGTGAGTTGATTGCTAAAGGGATGCTCTCGGGTAACACCCTTATGAGGATGAGAAAAGCATCCTGGGAGGAGAGAGGGATGCTGAATAAGAACATTGCTGCAAGCCATCTCTTGCTGCACCTAAGTGCAGCAGGGAGTTCGAGACCACAGTGGCTGGGGCAGGAGCTGGTACAGGAACCTGTGATGGTTAGCCTTGATATCAACTTCCCTGGATCTGGAATCAACTAAAAGACATGCCTCTTGATGGGTCTCTGATAGCATTTCCTGGAGAGATTAATTGGAGCAGGGAAGACCCTCCTGTGCGTGGGAGGCACCATTTTGCAGCTGCTCTCATGTAAAGATCTGAGGGGAAAACTGTTCCTTTTTGCCTGCCTGCCTTCATTCCTTTCCGGTGAGCGCAACTGATTTGCTGCTGCCTCAAGCACTGTAGCTACAGCTGCCAGCACCACCGCTGTAGCCGCCAGCACTGTAGCCGCCAGCACTGTAGCCGCCAGCACTGTAGCCGCCACAACCACTGTAGCGGCCACCACCAACCACTGCTATCATCTGTGGATAGCAAAGCTTCCAATGTAAGAATCCAAGAATCCCCCCTGCCTTCAACACTAGGGAGGGCTTGCTGAGGTGTCTATCCTAGTGGAATCAGTAGCTACTGGTTCTCAACCTCTTGAATATGCGGACCGCCACTGTTAAACTACCCAGAGCACAGCATGTCAGTCAGTGTACTAAACCCTGTGTAATATCTATTCACTCTACCAGTTCTTTTCCTCTACAGAACACCACATACTACACAGAGCACTGCAGATTTAGTTGGTAAGCCCGGGACTTCTTGTACCCAGGTCTTTTAAGGATCCTCCTACCTCAATGCTATCCCTACAGGAATCAATGTACACTTTTGTGTAATTAAGGCAATTTGTGCATGGTCATAGGGATGTCTGGCTCAGGATGAAAAGTCAGCCATTGTTCTATGCAGCAGAGTTAGGGATCAAATGTGGGAGTCACAGCACAGGTGCAATTTAAGTATGTTTTCAGAGGATATTGAATGTTAAAACTTTTTTTAGATCTACTTTATACGTACGGGTTCCTTGACTACATTAGGTCTGTGCACCAAGCACGTGTGTTGCCTGATGCCTGAGGAGGTAAGAAGAGGGTGTCAGAACTTTAGGAACTATATATAACTGGAGTTATAGATAGTTGAGCCACCATGTACTTCCTGAAACCAAACCTGGATCCTCAGCAAGAACAACAATTGCTTTAACCACTGAGCCACCAATGTTTAATTCTCCAGCCCTGATATTAATTCATAAGGTGACTTAGTTTATTGTATAAAAAGTAGTAAGTGCTGGGGCTGGAGAGATGGCTCAGTGGTTAAGAGCACTGACTGCTCTTCCAGAGGTCCTGAGTTCAATTCCCAGCAACCACATGGTGGCTCACAGCTATCTATAATGAGACCTGGCGCCCTCTTCTGGCATGTGGGCATACATGGTAGGAACGCTGTACACATAATAAATAAATAAAATCTAAAAAAAAAAGTAGTAAGTGCTGTAATTTACTTCTTAAAAAATTAAGGAGCCTCACAGGCTTTACAGACAAACATTTCAAGGTGACTTCCATTGTTCCCACCTTAGTGGGAAAACAGGCCTAGAAAGGTTAAGGACCTTTTCCAATCTTTCTAAGCTGTTAAGTTTTAGAGTCTAATTTAAATTTTTTATTTACTTTATGCAATGGGAGTTTTGCCTGAATTTATGTCTGTACATCACTCGCAGGCCTGACTCCTCTGGAGGCCAGAAGAGGGCATCAGATGCCCAGGAGCCATAGTTAGGAAGGCTGTAAACTTCCTTATGGTACCGGGCATCACATCTGTGTCCTCTGCAATAGCAGCAAATGCACTTAGTTATTGAGCCATTTCTCCAGCCCTGGTGTCTAATTCTGAACTCTACTTTACCTACAAGTCTTCTTTCTTAAAATCTGAATTAGCCAGTTGAAGGTTGTCACTATCAGCTACAACCCTATCTCAATGAGAAGAATTAGTCATTTTAGATATTTTTATTAATTTTAACTATTTTTTTCTTTTTTAATTAATTAATTAATTTATTTATTAAAGAGTTCTGTCTCTTCCCCGCCACCGCCTCCCATTTCCCTCCCCCTCCCCCAATCAAGTCCCCCTCCCTCGTCAGCCCAAAGATCAACCAGGGTTCCCTGCCCTGTGGGAAGTCCAGGGACCACCCACCTCCATCCAGGTCTAGTAAGGTAAGCATCCAAACTGCCTAGGCTCCCACAAAGCCAGTACATGCAGTAGGATCAAAAACCCATTGCCATTGTTCTTGAGTTCTCAGTAGTCCTCATCGTCCGCTATGTTCAGCAAGTCCGGTTTTATCCCAGGCTTTTTCAGACCCAGGCAGCTGGCTTTGGTGAGTTCCCAATAGAACATCCACATTGTCTCAGTGTGTGGGTGCACCCCTCACGGTCCTGAGTTCCTTGCTCGTGCTTTCTCTCCTTCTGCTCCTGATTTGGACCTTGAGATTTCTGTCTGGTGCTCCAATGTGGGTCTCTGTCTCTGTCTCCTTTCATCGCCTGATGAAGGTTAATATTCAGGAGGATGCCTATATGTTTTTCTTTGGGTTCTCCTTCTTATTTAGCTTCTCTAGGATCACTAAATATAGGCTCAATGTCCTTGATTTATGGCTAGAAACCAAATATGAGTGAGTACATCCCATGTTCCTCTTTTTGGGTCTGGCTTACCTCACTCAGGATAGTGTTTTCTATTTCCATCCATTTGCATGCAAAATTCAAGAAGTCCTTGTTTTTTACTGCTGAGTAGTACTCTAATATGTATATATTCCATACTTTCTTCATCCATTCTTCCATTGAAGGGCATCTAGGTTGTTTCCAGGTTCTGGCTTTTACAAACAATGCTGCTATGAACATAGTAGAGCATATACTTTTGTTGTATGATAAGGCCTCTCTTGGGTATATTCCCAAGAGTGGTATTGCTGGGTCAGCCATTTTAGATTTAAAATACTTTTGTATTTATGACCTCATCCTCACTTAGTATGGAACCAAAATATGCTAGGCAAATCCACCACTAAGATACATTTCTAGCCCTTTTAGTATTTTTGTTTTGTTATGTTTTGAAACAGGGTCACACTAAGTTGTCTAGGCTGGCACAGAATTCATTACATAGCCCATTCAGGCCTTGAACTAAAGACCTTCCTACCTCAGCCTTATGGGTAGCTGATCTAAAAGACTGAGCCATCTTTCTAGACCATGAACTGTGTTAAGCCAAGTGGGCTTGGATATGATCACCATGGAGTAACACGTATTCCTCTTCAGCTTGTTTCCGAAGTCAGCTGTAGTCAGTCAGTAACTAGCAGAATAGAGATAACACACATCATTTCTGCTCTGGGGTCCTTACCTTTGTTGAGTTAAAGATGCCCGCAGTCACTGGGTTATGGGTTGCTAGTTGAGACACCCATCCAAACTGCTCTTGCATCTTTTTCCATCAGACATGTGATGCCCTTCCATATGATACTGGACCATCCAAACAATCTGATCATATTGCTGAGTGGATATATTGACTAATTTCAGAGCCTCAAGGAATTCAGGTACTTCAGGTCAGTCTAAAAAGGAGGTAAAGAAATAGTGAAGAAAAGGTCCAGAAACTTAGAAGAGGGTGGTGTAGGCTTAAGACCTAGAGTTCTTAGTTAATGCTTATTGTTTGTAGTAAGGAATTATTGCCGATATCACCTTCAAATGAGACCTGGTTTAATGAATTGTTATTTATATGGTTTTATAGAGCAGAAGTGGGTGGATAAAGAAAAGAACTTCTTGTTAAAATCTCACACCTGCTGGACAATGCAGAGTCCTGCTGACCGTTAGCCCTTTGTCCAAAAAACTCGACTGAAGCAGAAGCCTCTGCTTTGTCCCTTCCACAGCACATTCTCTCCATCCCATCAAAGGGGGGAATTTAAATATATAAACACAAGTGGAGGTGTGAGAAAAGGGAAATTTCTATAGTGAATCTAGTTAAGATTGGGACAAAAAAGAATAGTAAAACAGTGAAAATCATGTCTAGTGATATTTGGAAAAACATTTTATCTTACATGTACAATATCAAATATGATATTATAACTATAGCTATGGGATTATTCATAAAATAATAGATAGATAAAATGTATGACAGTTGCCTTTGTTTTATTTTTGGTAAGGGGAATGGGTTCTAACTTGATAGCCCAGGTTGTCCTGGAACTTTTCTATGCCAGTCAGGTTGGTCTTGAACTTTGTATCCCTCTTAGCTCTGTCTCTCAAGTGCTGGGATTATAGGCATATGAGCTACCATGCCCTCCTCAGTTTTCTGATTCTGTGTTTTAAAAAAAGCAAAAAAAAATCCCCGCAGCGGCCCCTCGTGGGACGGCTGGCCCTCATGGGACCTTCCTTCCCTCCCACCATATATTTAAAAAAGAATAACATCTATTATAGCACAGGCTGAGTTCAAACTCTTGATTCTCTAGCCTTAGCGTCCTAAGAGCTGGGATTACAGGTGTGTGCCACTGCATCTTGTTCATCAGTAATAAATTTAAAATTATAATCTGCAGATGTAAAAATTTTAAAAGTAAAACACTGTTAATGAGGGGAGGGAGTGGGAACTGGGATTAGTATGTAAAATAAAAAAGATTGTTTCTTTAAAAAAACAAAGAAAAAATAAAGAACTAGTGGGACGAGCCTAAGCTAATGGTCAAGCTTTCATAAAACAAAACACTGTTAAGTACGGTGTATGTATATGTGTAATGTGTATGCATACAAGCATACATATGTGAGAACATATGTAAAATAAAGACATAAATGCTGAATCTAAATTAACCATTTGCAATCAGTTGTTTTGAGACAGTGTTTCATTGTGTGGAGGAGTCTGGCCTTGAACTCACAGAAAGTCACCAGCCCCGAGGCTGGGATTAGAGGCCTGAGTCACCACTCCTGGCTGCTGCCCTTGAACTCTAGCCTGCTGGTTATGGGCTATTCTGAGGTTGGAGCCTAGGCTTTCCTGCAGGCAAGTGAAGCGCTCCACTGAGTTGCCTTCCCCTCACTTCCTTTATTTACTTATTCATAGTCTTGGAGCAGGATTTCATTAAATGTCTTTACAGAGCAATCCAGCCTTCAAATGCAGCTGTGGGACTCTGTTTGCCCTTAGGCTCTAGCTAGGGCACTGGGGAGCTCTGAGGGCTCTCTCCATTTTCTTCTGAGGGGATAAAAGGACTGTGTGCAACCTGGAGGTGTGACACAGGCTTCATCTGCTTTTGTAATGTCTAATTCCAATGTAAGTGCTGGGTCCATAGAGTTTTGTTATGTCCTTCTTCATAGTTTTAAAATTGCTTTCTAAAAATAAGCTTTCACAGTATGGGATCACAGAGGGACATCTGTTCCCTTGTATTTTATCTCTATGACAACCAAGTTACATTGCACTTACCTGTATCGCCTGATATAGGCCACATCTATTAATTGTTATAGTTTGGATCTGGAATATTCTCCAAAGGCCTAAGTGTTAAAAGCTTAATACCTAGTCTAAAGGTGAGGGAAACTGTAGGAGGTGGGGACTAGTAGAAAGTCTTTAGGCCACTGGGAATAAAGGGCTCTTTCTTTCTCCTTTGCTCTCCTCATTTCTTTAGTACACAACCCTGCAAGTGACTTTTAAAATGCTTGAATAATGAAAGTCACTGATACTTCAGGCCATTTGCCTGATGCTTAAAAGACCTATTTGAAGTGTATCTGTTATCCTCATTTTCAAATGATAAAACAGCATCTCATAGTCACCCAGTTAACAATTCAGGGGGAATAAACTGCACCAGCCTTAGGTAACCAAAACTTTAGGGATGTGGGGCACAGTAGTTTATAACCCAAACTATGGAAAGTAGTATCTTCCAAAACATATTCTAGCAACACAAATTCAAGATGTCGAGATTTTCTGACACAAATTCCAACGTGGGGTAGATGTGTGGTTGGGGGTGTGCAGAAACAGGTAATCCCATGTAGTTAGTGGGTCCTTTCTAAAAGAGGGGCTGAGAAAACTCCTGTGAAGTTGGTTGAAGAGGAGAGAGAATGAAACAGAGAAGAGAGAGAGAGAAAAAAAAAAACAGCAAGTATTCGCATTCTTGTTCAACAGTGCAAGGAACCTGCCCTTTACAAATTCAGTACACCTGGGAACTGAGAACTAAGATCCCAGGCTGGTAACACTAAGCAATATGGGGAAAGAAGCATTATTGATGCTTAAGAGGCCTAGTTAACTATGTAAACACTGTACTGCTATGTGGTGATATTTTCTTTGTGATCTAACAAATAAAGCTTGCCTGAAGATCAGAAGGCAGAGTAAGCCACGATTAGCCATGGAGGCTGAGCAGTGGCAACACACACCTTTAATCCCAGCACTTGAGAGGTAGAGGCAGACCAAGCTCTGTGAGTTCAAGGACACCTTTTGCTACAACACGAGATTGAGTTAGTCTAAAAGGGAAACAGAGCCAAGTGGTGTGATTCACACATTTAATCCAAGCACTAGGGAGTTGGAGACAGGAAGTGGTTTGACTGGGCAGAAAGAGGAATATAAAGCAGATGGAGACAGCTCAGCATTCAGTCTGAGGTTTCGTAGAGACGGCCCCCAGTCTGACGACTTGTAGAGACAGGATTGCCCATTCGGTCTGAGGATTCGGTAGAAGAACTAGTAGCTGGCTGCTCCGCTTCTCTCATCTGTTACCTTTCACCCCCTAGGAGCTGAGTCTGGGTTTTTATTATTAAGATCAATTAGAATTCGCGCTACATTGGGTATAGTTCAGCAAACTATCAAAATCATCTTTTCCTGTTAGTTGAGCACAGTTTTAGAATAAAGACCTTGCTCCTCTTGAATTTCAGAGCAGGCAAAGGCTTAGGAATCTGTGATGCATTAAGTCAGGATACAAAGATGTTTCATTAGCAGAGACCATTATTCTGTAAACATAGTTATCTTAAGCATGGTGTTTAGGTTTGCTTTTGCTTGCTGTGTGTGCATGCATGCATGCATGTGTGTGTGGGGGGGAAGGTAGGGGTACTTATTGAGAGAGTGTCTAATGTAGTCTAGTCTGACTTTGATCTCATTATAGAGCCAGAGGCAGTCTCGAATGCCTGATCCTTGTACTTTTACCTCCAAGATATTCAGATTCTAAACATATGACACTGGGTTAGGCTTTAGCTGGGTGAGAAATAGTTTGCTTTTCATGACATTTTTGTTTTTGTTGTATGACCCTGGCCCAGAACCTTCTGCTTGCCCTGAACTATACCCCCAGTCTAAGCAGTGTGATTAAATCAAACAAATACTACATTGAAAAGTTAAATAAATTAAAAAAATATTTTATAAGTTTGAGTATCATTCCATGTATGCATACATGTTTATTTATAATATTAGAAAATACAGAAAAGGGTATGCAACTCATCCTTAACATTACAACTCAGTGGTAACCTTGATTCTTATTATGGTATATCTAATGACATCTTATTTCTAAAAATTATTTTTTATTTTTAATTATGTGGGGTGTCAGGGGTGTTTATGTGCACATGAGTGTAGATGCCCATGAAGAATGGAGATACAAGTGCTGTGGACCATTAGATTTGGATGCTAGGGGACCAAACTCAGATCCTCTACAAGAGTAGTTAGCACTCTTCAGCACTGAGCCATCTTTCCCGTCTCTCTAATGACATAGAAAAGTCAGTGTGTCTTTTATATCACCGTGTTCAAGAACACGAGAATTCTGTCTTTCCTCGTTTCTAAAGAGCTACGTTGGCTGAGATTCACTCTCTGATGAAGGGCAGAGGAGAGGCAGCAGAGAGGATAAAGGTTTCTGTTGATTGTATTGTGACTCTTCCTATTGGTAGAAACACTTCAGCAGTCTTTGTTTTGTGAGGAAGCTGAATGCAAGAGCTTTATAACTTTGCAGTTAAAGAATCTCATCTTTCCTGAACTTTGATTTTATTAACTTACCCTATTTAGATTTAATTGTAAACAAAGCCTAGAATCACCTGGGAGAACTGCCTAGATTAGATTGACCTTTGGGTATATTTCTGGGGGTTATACTGATTATTATTTAATGGAGGAGGGCCCAGCTCACTTGGGTGGCACTGGAGCAGGCTCCCAGACCTTAGCACAACTATTTCCATGATGGAAATATCATTCAGACTGTAAACTCTTTAGTAGACAGCACCACCTGCCAAAATGAAAACAAAGATCTAATCCATCAAAGTCCACAGTTCTGGGAAACTCTAAATGTATTAACCTTGAGTTTTAGTTTCTGTAGTTCTGCTTCTGGCTAACTGTCCTTGTTAACTAAAGTATGACAACACAGAGCATAGGTTTTGTGCTTAAGAGCTCAACCCAAGAAAGACTCGCTGGTACACCATGACTCCAAATACCTATTGTAGTTGCAGGCCAGCTACTAAAGACTTTCAATGTGCTTACACCCATGTCAGAGCAGTGTTCTTTGGGGGATCCCTCACTACAGCCCCATCGCCTGGGCGGGTGGTCCTGGGCTGTATGAAGAAAGCTAATCAAGGTCCCTGAGAGATGGTTAAGAACACTGGCTGCTCTTCCAGACGACCTGGGTTTGGTTACCAGCAACCACATGGCAACTTTCAACTGTCTAGAAATCTCCACTCAGGGAATCCAATATTCTCTTCTGGTCTTTGCAGGCACCAGGCATGCATGTGGTACACAGATATACATGTGGGCAAAACACCCATACATATAAAATTATTTTTTACATACTTAAAAATAAAACTAGTTAAGCATGAGGCTGTAGCTGGTTATAGTAGTGCATGTCTTAATCCCAGCAAAGACAGACAGATCAGTGTGAGTTTGAGGCCAGCCTGGTCTATATAGATAGAGTTCCCAGGACAGCCAGGCTCTCATAGCAAGACACTGTCTCAAACAAACAAACACACAAACACACACACAACAACAGAAAGACATAAGGTCATGAACAAGGTAGCAATCAGCATTCCTCCACGGTTTTTGTTCAAGTTCTTGTTTGAGGTACTGCTATGACTTTACTCAATGATGGTATCCTAGTTACTTTTCTATTGTTCCAGTAAGAAGACTCCATGACCAAGGCAACTTATAGAAGCGTTTAGTGAAGGTTTGCAGTCTCGGAGGGTTAGAGTTCATGACCACCATGGTGGGGAGCATGACAGCAGGTGGCATGTTGCTGGAATAGTGGCTGAGTCTTTACACCTTTGTCCACAAACACGAGGCAGGGAGAAAGCTAACTGGGAATCACATGGGCTTTTTAAACCTCAAAGGCCACCCTCCAGTGACATAACCTTCTCCAAAAAGGCCACACCTCCTAAATCCTTCCCAAACAGTTCCAACAACTGGGGGCCAAGCGTTCAAATATATGAGCCTGTGGGAACCATTCTCATTCCAACCACCACAGAAAGACTGGAATCTGCTATATGAAATAAGCCCTTTCCCCACCTTAAACTGGTTCTGGTCAGAGTGTTTTATCCCAGCCACAGAATGAAACTAGAACAGAAATCAGAACTGAGGGTGTGACTATTGCTGGGATGACTTGGTCATGGCTTTGTATATCTCTGGACTCTTTTGTTGGAGGGCTGTGGAAGATTTTGAAACTTCGGGTTAGAAAAGTGGTTGAATGCTCAGAATTTAACAGGCTGTTCTAAAAGGAGCTTAGAAAACAGTAATGCTGAGAAATACCCTGCCTGTGAAGGCCTGTCTTGGGAAGTTTCAGAGGGAAGTGAAGACTATCAAGATCTGAGATAGGGGCCATCCATGTAATTTCTGGCTAAGAACTTGTATATTCTGATCTACTGAGGCTAAAGAATCAGCTTTGACTAAAAAGAGAGCAACGCCATTGAGTGACATTTTCTGTTTCATTGGGGCAATAAAAAATATGACCTCAGAATTCGTACACAGAGTCGGTCTAAGAGGAGCAGGCTATATTTTGAGTTGCCTGGGTAGTATTTATTTTGAGGGTACAAAGGGGTCACAGAGAGCTTCAGAGGCTTGGCCCCATATGGAAGAGTTAGAGTCTCTGTACAGAGGCTGGCAAAGGTCACTGGTAAAGGTTCAACCTCATTTACAATGTAAACCCCTCAGTTATTAGAGATACCAGGACCATGAGACATTTGGCAAGGACAGCAGTGATTGTGGAGTGGAGCCCACCTAAGGCTACAATATGAATCATGTGTGCACAGCAGCGTGTGTGTGTGTGTGTGTGTGTGTGTGTGTGTGTGGAGCCCACCTAAGGCTACAATATGAATTATGTGTGGACAGCGTGTGTGTGTGTGTGTGTGTGTGTGTGTGTGTAGTGGAGCCCACCTAAGGCTACAATATGAATTGTGTGTGCACAGCAGTGTGTGTGTGTGTGTGTGTGTGTGTGTGTAGCCCACCTAAGGCTACAATATGAATTATGTGTGGACAGCGTGTGTGTGTGTGTGTGTGGTGGAGCCCACCTAAGGCTACAATATGAATTATGTGTGGACAGCGTGTGTGTGTGTGTGTGTGTGTGTGTATGTGTGGAGTGGAGCCCACCTAAGGCTACAATATGAATTATGGGTGCTGCCCATAGATCTTCTGGAGTCAGAAGAGTGAGTCTGAGGATTTGGATTCACGCTGCTGGATTCTCGTCTTGCATTGACCTAATTTTTCTTACTCCTTTGTTCTTCCCTTTCGGAACAAGAAAGTACTCAACTTTTTAAAATCAAGCCCACAGTTCAGAGACTTTGGAATTTTAAAGGGACATGGAGTTTTTAAAGACTGCAGAACTTTTAAAAGTTAGGCTGTGTTTTACTTTATGATATTAATGTGAGATCCTGGGGACGAGAAAGGAAAGGTTAGAACCTGGCTATCTACACGTTACCTCTCACTTCTATGAGTTTTCCTCCATCAGGGGATTTCCCTTTTCTTCGCAGCAAAAGAAGCTGACCTAATTTGCTTATTGTTTTTCTCGTCTGTAAATGATTGTGTTTCTTTAATCTTTAATCATACATCCCTAAGTACCCACTGTGCATGGAAGTGATGAAAATGAAAGGATTAGTTTACATACACTGGCTGAGTAATAGTTGTAAACCTTTATCAGGAACACCTGTAGATAGAACCAAGCGTGCAAAACCGGAGCTGGGAGCTGCTCAAATGGTAAAGTGCTTGCTAGGCAAGCGTGAAGGCCTGAGTCAAATCTCAAGAAACCCATTTGAAAATCTCATACATAGAGGTGTGTTTGTAATTCCCACACTGGAAAGGATAAGACAGGTATACACCTACAGCTCACTAGCTGGCCAGTCCAGACTATTTGGAGAGTTCCACGTTAGTGAGAAACCATGTCTCAAATAAAATGAAACAATGGATGGAACCTGTGAAATAACACCTAAGGTGTTATTTGATCTCTGAATGCACAGGCTTATGTGTGCTCATGTGCCCACACACATGAAAGACATAATAAATCAGTAATTATTTACCTTCAGATAGGTAACTGTGACAATTTTGGCATCTTTCGTGAAATTTCATACATCCGGATAAATTCTGGTTAAATTCCTCGCACATTCCTCCATTTGGCTCAGGTAACATCTCTGGAGGCAGGTCTCTCTGACTCAGCTCTGAGGGGAATACAACAATCACGTGAAACACTATGGGAATTTCACCACACAGGGCTGGGGAGATGGTTAAGTCAGTAAAGCACTCACTCCACAACTAGGAGGACCAATGATCCCGAGAACCCTTGAAAGAAACCAAGTATGGTAGCCATGATTTAATGCCAGTGCTGGGGAGGAGGAGACCCGTGGATCAGTAGGCTGATTGGCCCAGCTTGCTCCGCCTTCTTGCTGAGTTCCAGGCCAATGAGATGGCTAATTCTAATACTGGAATTGGAGACCAGGCAGGGCTACACAGTGAGAGCCTGTCTCAGATACACAAAATTCAAAACACAATGAAAGAAAAACTAAAAATGAAATAGAAAAACTAACAAAAACAAGTAGGTGGCTCCCGATGAGCAACACTCTCCCACATGTGTGTGCAACCCTGAACAAACATTAAATAAAAAAAATTATGTGATAAATAAGTCAAAATTAATTAAAATTTAAAAACTTTAGAAGCTAGGCAAGGGAGCCTATATCTATGGGATGTCTCCTATATCCCAAGAGAAGTAGAGGCAAAGGATTAAGAGTTCAAAGTTAGCCGAGGTGTGGGTGATATAGTAGTCAGGAGAGTAGTAGGATAAAAAGTTAACACAGAAAAATCAATAGCCTTTATCAACAACAGATGTACCAAGAAAGAATCAAGGAAACACTCCCACACCATAGCCTTAAAATCAACCCACACCATAACCTTAAACATCTGTCAATCTTGGAATAAATTCCACCAAAGAAGTGAAAAGTTTACAATGAAAACTTTAAGGCACAGCAGTCACACTCTGTGATCTCTAGTCTGGGCAGACCTCAGCTGTCTTTACAGCACAGTACTAGAATGTTTCGGGTGTCACCAGCTATGGAATATTACTCCTGGAGCATGAGTTTCCGACTGTGTAAACAACTATTCTGGAATCTGCACAGGACCTATGCTTGTCCCAGAAAGAAGTCTGGATGGATTGCCTACCTCTCCTCTGCCAGCTGTGGTTTACTGATTCCATTCATAGAAACAAAATTTTGGAGCTGGACAAGGCGGCACATGCCTACAGTTCTAGCTCCTCCGGGGAGTGAGCGGGAGGGGACCTTACTGAAGCCAAGGAGTTGAGACAACCCTGTGTAACATAGCAAGACCCAACCTCAGAAAACAACTACAAAACACAAGCCCCGAGAAAAGTTCCTAAAGTTACATGTCCGACACACAAGAGAGTAACTTTCAAATCTCCTGTCTCCACACTCATCTCATTATACTCCAAATCTCCTGTCTCCACATCATCTGATTATACTCCAAATCTCCTGTCTCCACATCATCTCATTATACTCCAAATATCCTGTCTCCACATCATCTCATTATACTCTGGCAATCAGAGGAGGACCGTGGCTGTAAACGTGGAACAGATGCAATCAACAACGGTGTGGTGGCATTTCACTTGTATTTTAATAAATAAAGCTCGCCCGAAGATCAGAGCGTTAAACAGCCCCACTGGTCAGCCTTACAGACCAGGCAGTGGTGACACACACCTTTAATCCCAGTAGCCACACTAGCTTGCCATAGAAACCAGGCGGCAGCAGTGCATGTCCTTAATCCCAGAGCTAGAAAGGATTATAAAATGGGAGGAGACAGCTCTCAGTCAGTCTCATTCTGAGGTTTCCTGGAGGTAGGATCCCCATTTTTAGACCGAGGTCGAGGTAAGAGCCAGTGGCTGGCTGTTTTGCTTTTCTGACCTTCAGGTTGAACCCCAATATCTGTCTCTGAGTTTTTATTAATTGTGCTTTACAATGTCATCAACTTAATTTGGCATAATCCCTATCCTAGAGGCTGCTGCTCTTTTGTAATTGAGTGTGGCACTGCCAAGCCAGAAGAATACTATGATTATACATACACTAATACAAAGAGGAAAATTCCATTCTATTTCATACATGGCTCACCTCCTGAAGTGGGGAGGAAAATCCAGGCCAATCAAAGAATTTACTGGACAGAGCACGCCTTTTATGGGTCACCACCCTCTGCGAATTTCTCTGCCTAGAAGACAGCCAAAGGGCATAAAAAGAAAACGTGCCAGTTCTGCAGGCCACACATGCATAGGACAAAAGGAGACCTGAAGGAATTCAGAAGAGGAGAAGCACACTGACATAAGGATGATGTGCACATCTGTAGTCCTACCACGTGGGAGACTACAGCAGGAGAATGATGGACTCAAGGTCAACTTAGGATGCATCTCCAGAACAGACTTTTAACGTAAATCACGAGACAGGGAGAGAACAGTGAAGCTAAGTGTTAAGGCACACATCTGTAACCCAGTACTTCAGGAGTGGAATAATCAGGGTCAGTTGTGGTGGCTACATACTGAATTTGAGCACAGCCTGGGCTACATGTAGAACTGAGAGAGGGAGGGAGGGAAGGAGGAAGAGATTCAAATGCATGATTTCTAGGATAAGCTATAAAAGAAGTCTGGAGTAAACGGCTGTAATGCTATAATTGAAAATTCAGTTAGACATGTCTATTGGAAGCCTCCTCACAGGAAGACACATAAAATATGACGCTTGGCATCAATGGGCTTACTATCTACTTGGAACATGCCCACAAACAGTGAATTCAATGCAAAGTCAGGGCTTCTGACTTCTATTGGAATTACAGAGTATAATAATAAGGGGAATAAACACTAATGGTTATTCTAAACCATAAATGGAGAACACTCAGGTAGTAATATGTAACACTGGTGTTAGATTCCAGATCATAGAGGGAAATTATCAATCATTTTCATTCTAAAAATTAACATAATCTACAAATCAAGATAGCTTGGATGTCTTAAGAACCCCGAAATGGTGAGTTCCATTTTCCTCTTACCGTATTTTTTACAGAGGACCAAACAGGTTGGCAAGCTGTGTAAAATCTCATGCAGTTACTGTCCAGACATGGCTTTTATCCACTGAGTCATCTTGCTGACCTGCAATTAAACTAACTCTTAAAAAAAGAACGGTTAGGGGGCTTTAAAGGATTCTTGGGGGAAAGATATCTAGAGAGAGAAAGCCCATGGATAGTTTAATTGCAGTGGTCAAGAAGTAGGGCAGACTGACTGTCCTTCGTTATAAGCTCATTATTGTGTCAGAGTAACAGTGGTGCTCCTATAAGATCTGGAAAATCCGATGGTACTTTCTAACAGCCAGGAAATGTACTCAAATGTTGAGTTCAAAGCTGGGTGTGATGGTAGATACACATAATTCCAGCACTTAGGAAGTGGAAAGGTTGACCAGCCTCAGTTACAGCCTGGGCTACATGAGACTCTGACTCAAAATAAATAAATAAATATTAAAGAAAGGAAATAAATATGGAATTCTTTTTTTAAAAAAATTTATTTATTTATTATGTATACAATATTCTGTCTGCATGTATGCCTGCAGGCCAGAAGAGGGCACCAGATCTCATTACAGATGGTTGTGAGCCACCATGTGGTTGCTGGGAATTGAACTCAGGACCTTTGGAAGAGCAGGCAATGCTCTTAATCTCTGAGCCATCTCTCCAGCCCAAAATATGGAATTCTTAACCATCCTCACCCTAAATATATTTAGGAGTAGTGTCTAGTTATTTATTTATTATTAGTGATAGGGACTAGAAATCCTTGATCTAGTCAAAACCTCTCCAAACACTTTTGACTTCTTAGCTTAAATGAGACTGAAAGTGAAGACTTTTGAGAAAGCAGTCTTCTTAACTAGGTATCAGTCCCTAAATCTGTGTTCAAGCTCCTGTGGAAAGATGATTAGACAAGACAATGTAAAGCTTCCTCCAGCTTCTCCAATCTAAACTGCTCTCCAGAAATACGTCATAGGGAAGGCAGTCACTCATTAATTGTACATATGTATTGTTGCAATCATCGTAGCCTGGAGGTGCTTAAGAACAGGTAGTTTTCAGTGATGGTACCTGCTTTCTTCTTTCCATTTCTTCAAGGTTTACATCAGCCGTGCATGCTCCATCTCCTTTCCATCATGATTTTCTTTTCTTTTCTTTTCTTTTTTTTTTTTTGGTTTTTCGAGTCAGGGTTTCTCTGTGGTTTTGGAGCCTGTCCTAGAACTAGCTCTTGTAGACCAGGCTGGTCTCGAACTCACAGAGATCCTCCTGCCTCTGCCTCTTATCTGCCTAATGCCAAACAAAGCCTTCTTCACCTCTCCTCCTGTATCTGTCTCCCCCGCCTCTAGAAGACCTAGAAGACATGTTTGAGGTTTCTTTTAACTTTATTAGGAAACGGTAACCTCACCAGTTTTTTGTGCCCCCTAAATAGCAGCTGGATTGTACAGCCTTTCGATCTAAAGGTCTTCATGCTGAATTAGCTGTCGGTTGTCTTGGTGACCTGCCTTCTGATTGTCACGTGGGAGCTCCTGAACAAACCTGAGCTTATTTGATCTCAGTCTGGTCATTTTCCACAAGTCCTGTTTTCCTTTATCCACTTTTCTCTATCACTGGCTACTCAGGGATGTTTGTATTTAAAAAAAAAAACGGAATTTCTTTTATAGTTTATATGAAACATTCAGAAGAGGACTTCAGTGAACAATTTCCCTTTTTCATTTTAAATTACCTTCCAAGAAGTCATCAGACTAAGAATGTATGTCATATGTATATACATAGTAACTTTTAAGTGTGGCAACTCAAGAGATTATAGAAAAAAGTTCCAAGTTCCTAGTCTAAATGTGATTTTATGTCACATGAAGCCAAATCTGAATTATTTTCTAAAAGAAGAGAAAAGAACTTGTTACGTAAAGAGGGCACAGCTCTTTTGTCTTAGCTCCATTCTAGACATGACTCGATAGGATACTGTTTTTTTTTTTAAATATTTATTATGCATACAATATTCTGTCTGTGTGTACGTCTGCAGGCCAGAAGAGGGCACCAGACCTCATTACAGATGGTTGGGAGCCACCATGTGGTTGCCGGGAATTGAACTCAGGACCTCTGGAAGAGCAGACACTGCTCTTAACCACTGAGCCATCTCTCCAGCACACCCAGAGGCATGGATGATGAGAGAAGCAATAGAAAGAAGCTGCTACTTAGTCTGGAGCGTCACCTCAAGGCCACAGGTGGTAAGACAGGACCACTAACCAGAAAGAGCAAGGAGCAGGCACTGCTGACAGCACAGACAGCCTACATCTGACTTCTCACTCCTGAGGAAACATCCTGGACCTTGTTGTTGGTTGGTTTTGTGAAGTTAGGGATATAACTCAACCCTGGCTATACAATAAATTTAAGAACAGTCTGGAAAATGACTAAGGAAACAAAGTAAAACAAAATAAAAAGGAGGTTATGTATACGAGTGTATATACATGTGTGCACACACAAACCATCGATCCTAACCACGTGAGTAAAAGCACACGGAAGCATTCACACTCCAGTAGCAAAGAGGATTCTTTGTTATAAATACCTAGCGTCTTTACAAACCAAAAAGCAAAAGCAAGCTCCTTGTAAAAGCGGCTGTCAGATCATTTTGAGAAGGTAAATAAGACACCTAAGCATTTTTAGGATAATGCAGAGAAACTCCTGCCACAATACTACACTGACTCTCAAAATCTTTTTTTGACAATATGTGCCATATAAAACTCAATATTTGGAAAACTTAAAAATTTAACCTAGATGAAAGATATATGCAGCCTCAAAGGGAAAAATAAACTATTAAAAGCACTGAGGAAAGTTTTCATTTCCACCAATGGAGAATAATTTATACTTCTTCCATCAACTGTATCAACTCATATACAAAAATACCTTTGATCTATGGGTAAGCTGTATAAATATATGCACTTCATTCACAAGTGAACACACACAGGAAAGGAGAAGGAAGACAATCAACTCTCTCAGAAGTGAGGAGTCCCACAGTGTATTTCCAGAAGACAGTTGGAGCTACATCTTCTGAGCCTGCTTAATACTAAGGCCTGTGAAGTGCAAACTTACAGAATGGACTGCTAAAAGGTGTTGGGAGGGAGGGCGACTTCTCCCGGCGGGGACCGGCTGGATCCCGCAGGCTGCAGGTCTCCTCCGCCGCGTTCGCCTCCCTCTCGCGCTGAGCCGGTGACCGCGGATCCACTGCGCGCCCCGTCCACCCGGAGCCGGAGGATGCACGCTGGAGGCCGCGGGAAGCGCTGCGCGAGCCCGACGCTGGGTGAGCTCACACCGGGCGGGCGCCCCATCCTCCCCGGCTGCGCTCCGCTCTCGGGGCAGGAGGAAGGGCCATGGCGCCAGCCGCCGCCGCTTGGTCAAGTCCTAACAAAGATGCATTGGTTGTCGTTGTAGACATTAAAAGAGTACCAGCGCTTTATTTATATATTTGAAAATCAAGTATATGAGACTTTAAAGGCGTTTTTATTTGAATTGGTTTTTCTTTTCTTTTCTTGGTAGATAAAGTGTTAATAAATCCATACTTGGTCTAGGAGTTCCAGAGTACTCAAAAACCCAAATTCCCAGACAGGAAAAATGGCAGTGAAGCATGAGCAGTGTCATCGAAGACAAGTACTGTTTTGGCTTCACTCTAACTGGCTCGCATAACTTGATGTTGAAATGTATGTAGGGCAGTAAGTGAGCAGTGTGGTCACGGGCCGGGCCGACAGTAGCACAGTGATAGGTCCTCTTCATAGACGGATCACTTCTGTATGGACGTAATGTGAGTTTCCTCAACGTTTATACTGTCTTAATTTCTTTTTTATGATTAGAGAACGGCAATGGGTTGATGACTTTCCTTTGCATCAAAATGCCCGTGAAGGAGATTCAGAATTACTAAGCCTTCTTCTCAGTAAGGGATTACGGTCAACCAACTAGATGATGACCACTGGATTCGGATTCTCAGGTGCTTTTTATGCTCTTATTTGGTTTGGTTGTTTCCCATGGTGCTAGCAACTGAACCCCGGGGTTCTTGATGCATATACTTCCAGGTGAGCTACACCTTCTGACCTGATTTTGAACTAAAGATCATGTCTTCTGATTTCTAACTTTTGTACTTTTTTTTTTTTTCAGGTCTCTTCCTCCCACTCCCTTTGGTTTTTCAAGACAAGGTTTCTCAGTGTAACTTTGGAGCCCATCCTGGAAATTTCTCTGTAAACCAGGCTGGCCTTGAACTAGAGAATCTTCCTGCCTCTGACTCCTGAGTGCTGGGATTAAAGGCATGTGCCACTACCTCCAGGCTAACTTTTGTACTTTTTAATGGGATAATTATGCCATCTTTTTTTCTCTTGTTTTGAGAATATGTTTCTCTTAATTGGTCATAAATGGAAATAGTTAAATTGAACCAAAGTAATACATGAAACATTTCAAGCATTCCAGACACTTAGGTCAGTATCTTAACACATTGTTTGTCCTCTAGATTTCCTTCAGGTATTCTGTAAATTTTGAATTTTTAAGCGTTTCAGATGGGTTATTTTTATGTATTTTATTTTTTATAGGTATGGGAAAATTGAGGCCACTTGCACATTACTAGAGAAAGAAAAGTGCAATCCAAACCTTTTAAATGGGCAGCTCAGCTCACCTCTTCACTATGCTGCTGGAGGGGGACATGCAGAAATAGAGCAGATCCTCCTAACCCACCCAGACATTGACAGAGTAAGTTATTTTCTGTTTTTATATTTTAATTTTCAGCAACTAACAAGTAGTGATACAACAACGTTTAATTGTTTACTTAACATGTCAATTAACACCAACAAATTTTACTATATAGAGTATAATGTATATGTTAACTGTGCTTTAATCATAAGTTTTGAATTGCTGTTATGATAAAACACACTTCACCTAAAAGGTATTCTTTCAACAACTTAGATGCAAAGTTCATAGCATTCAGTACATTTGTATTGTTATATATAGTCATTGCATATACACATCTCCAGAAACTGTGTAAAATTCATTTTCATCTTATTACCCCCCCCTCGAACATCTTAAAGAAAGAAAATGATTTACCCATCTTCTACAATGTGTGCTAACAATCATTTGGTAAAAGGAAAGTAAATCTGTGGAAACTGTTATTAAATCTATGCCTTAAATTTTAAAAACTATAATCCTACTAATTAGTGCTTCGAGTTTTTTTTAGCTTTTCCAATTTTTGTTTTAGTATGTATTAAGTATGGTTAATATTTACTTAATCCTTAACCAGAGAATTTTTATAACACTTTAGTTGAATAAATTCCTTTAGAACAGCATGTATTTGTAATATCTTTTGGTCTGTTGCTTTCTCCATCCTAGCACTTAACAGACCAACAAGGCAGATCCCTGTTAAATATTTGTGAAGAAGACAAACTAAGTAACTGGAAAGAAGCTACAAGATTGTTGAAAGATGTTAACAAACCAGTCAGAATTGTCTGAACAGCTGAAGGCAAATGTGTAAACTGATCATTTGCTGTTGCTTGTTTCCCTCTCTACTCTCTTGGGTGCCGGCCACCCAGCTCCCAAATAAACACACAGGTGATCTTTCTTATCAATGCCCGGCCTTAGCTTAGCTTCTTTCTAGCCATCATCATCTTTTGCCTCTAGCTTTTACCTTTCTCTATTTCTGTATAACTTTTCTTTCACTCTTACTCCATGGCTTGCTGTGTAGCTGGGTTACTGGCTCCTGATGTCTTCCTCTCCTTGGTCTCTTGTGCTCCTTCTTTTCCCTCCAGATTTCTCCTTCTCTTTATTCTCTTAGTGTGCCAGACCCTCCTATCCTTTCTCCTGCCTCGCTGTTGGCCATTCAGCTCTTTCTTAGGCCATCAAGTTTTTTAGACAGGCCAAGAATCACAACTTCACAGAGTTAAACAAATGCAACATAAATGAACGCAACACACCATTGCATCCAATTATGTATGATTGTATTACTATGTTTAATATAAGTAACTCTGCTCATTTATGTGTATTTTCCTCCAGCAACATTTGTTTGTAAACAGCAGAATTATACACCATTCATTAAAATCTTCAGCAAGTTGGTGTATGAGGAACTCATTTTCCTCTCCACAAAAGTGAAGTAGGTGCTTTCCTAGTTTTGTGTATGTGTGGTTGGTTGTGCTCATGTGGAGACCAGAGGGTAATGTTAGGAATCTTTCTTCACCACTTCTCCACTTGTTTTTTGAGACAGGGTCTCTCTCTTTTTTTTTTTTTTTTTTTTTTTTTTTTCTCTCTCTAAAACTAAAGCCAACCATTTTGTCTAGCTTCCAGGACCCTCCTCTCTGACCTCTTCCATCCCACCAACTCTGGGGTTAGAGACACAAGCAGCCATTCCCAGGTACGGGCGGGGGCTGGAGGAGGGGTCCCTACTGGGCGCCAGGCTGCCATTGGGGACGGCTTGCAGCCCTCGAAGCCGGCAGGGTGGGCCGGCGAGCTTGCACTGCTGGCCGCTGGAGTTAGCCTCGCCCCGCCCCGCCCCGCCCGCCACCCCGGGGCCTCCAAGTCCCTGCGCCGCCCCCTTCGCCCCCGCCTTGGAGATCGCGGATAAATCGGGGAGGCGAGCGCAAGGGCGCCGGCAGCAGGCTGGCAGAACTTCTTTTCCACGGTCGCCCTTGATTGTAGCGCAGGCGAGGCAGCCTAGGCACGGAGCGGCCACCACGCGCTAGAGAGTCCGCCCGCCCTCCCGTGCCCTGCCCGCCTCTCCCCGGGCGCCCACTCGCAGAGATCGGCGCCCTGGCTGGGTCCCCCGGCCGCAGCACGCAGCTCCGCCGCCGCCTCCAGGCCGGATCGCGAAGACGGCAGGCCTTGACTCTGACCCGTTTTCCAGTCTTACCTGATCGGCCCCTTGAGCCAGGAGCCCTTCCCTTCGGCCGTCAGGTAAGTCGGCAGCAGGTCCGGGCAGGGGCTGGAGGCCGGGGTCCCGACTCGGCGCCAGGCTGTTGTGGGGGCCGGAGTGCGCGGCACTTTGCCGCCGAGGTCTGCAGGGTGGGCGGGCGAGCCTTGCACTGCTGGCCGCTGGAATGAACTCAGAACCGGAATGCTTGCCGCGCCCGCAGTCCCGGGGAAAGCAGCCCGAGCCCGGCTCTGGCCACACCCATCCCCGCAGCCTCCGCGTCTTCACACCACCCCCGCCCTGGGAGACCGCGGATAAATCGGGGAGGCGAGCGGCGGGGGTGGAGGGGGAGGGAGGCAGAGCGCACGGGCGCTGGCAGCAGGCTGGCCGAGTTCCGTTTCTAAGGTCGCCCTTGATGGTGGCGCAGGCGAGGCAGCGTAGGCATGGAGCGGCCACCACGCGCTAGAGAGTCCGCCCGCCCGTGCCCTCCTCTCCCCGCGCGCCCACCCGCAGAAGTCGGCGCCCTGTTTGGGTCCCCCCTGGCTGCCGCTTGCAGCTCCGCCGCCGCCTCCAGGCCGGGTCGCGAAGACCGCTGACGTCTGCCTGCTGGCCTTGACTCTGACACTTTTCCAGTCTTGCCTGATCGGCCCCTCGAGCCAGGAGCCCTTCCCTTTGGCTGTCAGGTAAGTCGGCAGCGGGTCCGGGCGGGGGCTGTAGCCCGTGGTCCCTACTGGACACCAGGCTGCCCTGGGGGGCGGGGAGCGCGGCTGGTAGCCACCGAGGCCGGCAGTGTGGCGGGGGAGTCTTGTGCTGCAGGCCGCTGGAATGAGCTCGGAACCCGTGTGCGAGCCTCGGTCCGTGGAGCCCACCTCAGCCGGGTCTCCGAGCATGCTCCACACTAAGACTGTAGCCGAACTTGGGGAAAAACTTTGCAGGCATACCCAGCTCCCACCAAGCCAGGCCAGATGAAAAGTTGTGTTTCCGTTAGGTATTTCACAGAGTTAATTTCAGGCTGACCCGGGTAGCTCGCGCTTCTGACTTGGCCCCTGTACTTTGCTGTCCAAACTCATTTAGAGCCCAAATTGCTAGGAGAGCCTGACAGCCTCCCTGGTTTCCAGCCAGTCCACACCCGGCAGCTTAACGTGCTGTCCACCCCAGAGCTCACAGGTACCAGGGCCACCAAAGCCAACCTATCCAACCCTTTATTTGAAACTTCTAAGAGCTGACAGACAGGACGTTACTGTTCTTAGAATGAATAGAACCCCTATTCTTTCTATTCTTTGAATGAGGAACTATTTCCATAGTCTCCTGCAATTTTCTCTTATTTTCAACATTTCTAAAATAACTTAAAAAAAAAAGCCGTTGCTGTTCTGGAAATAAGAGTGTTGAAAGGTAGCTGTAGTCACAGGGCAGAAGGAAAGGTAATGCACCCATTCTCTGCTCTCTCAGGCTGCAAGAAGCAGTCAGAGTCAATGGCACATATAAATATATACATATTTTTTAAAAGAGCTGAATAGCTTATCTGGCATCCTGGGAAAGCATTAGTTTTGGTTCTTGAAGGTACTTTAAACCTTCTCACAGTAGGTACTCTTAAGTGGGTGAGTCAGGTAAATGCATTTTACATAACAAAAAGCCCAAGGTAGCCTTCCCAGCTTTTATGCTGCAGGAATCACTTGCTGTCCTTTGTTGGCAGAAAGCTGGATCCTGGAGTTTTGGGCGGGGGGGGGGGGGTACACTAGAAGTGCACCCTTATTTCAGATTTGGCCTAGAACAGTTGTCACCTTAGGCGTCAGTGCAAGCATCTAGAGAAGTTTATTCCAGCCCCGAGAAAAGGGGTGTCTAATATTTTTGCCATTGATTTACAGTAATGTTCTCTTTAGGTAATCTTCCATAATAATGATTGCACATCATTTTTGTTAGGAAGCAAAAGGGTGAATGCTATCTGTAGAGCTTCGATTAATTGGCAGAATGTTCCAGCTGTTTAATTTTAAGCATGAAAAGTCTAAGAATTTCCAAGATGCTACAAAACCATCCAGTTTTATTAAGAAATCACGGCTTTGATTATTTATATTTTTAGTTCATTTGAAGCTTGGCCTATTACATAAGAACTTGGGTGAGCTCATGCATTTTGTGTCAAAAAAGTTGCAGCTCTTAGGAAGTCATATTCTTTTTTTTCCATTTTTTTTATTATTGAGAAAAGGAAGAAAAAAAAAAAAACAAGTTTCCACCTCCTCCCAGTCTCCCATTTCCCTCCTCCTCCTCCCACCCTTCTCCCTCTCCTCCCCCTCCTCTCCCCCTCCCTCTCCAGTCCAAAGAGCAGTCAGGGTTCCCTGCCCTGTGGTAAGTCCTAGGTCCTCCCCCCTCTGTCCATATCTAGGAAGGTGAACATCCAAACTGGCTAGGATCCCACAAAGCCAGCACATTGCATAGGATCAAAACCCCGTGCCATTGTCCTTGGCTTCTCATCAGCCCTCATTGTTCACCATGTTCAGAGAGTCCAGTTTTAACCCATGCTTTTTCAGTCACAGTCCAGCTGGCCTTGGTGAGCTCCCAGTAGATCAGCTCCACTGTCTCAATGGGTGGGTGCACGCCTCGTGGTCCCGACTTCTTTGCTCGTGGTCCCGACTTCTTTGCTCATGTTCTCCCTCCTTCTGCTCCTCATTGGGACCGTGGGGGCTCAGTCCAGGGCTCCAGTGTGGGTCTCTGTCTCTATCTCCATCCATCACCAGATGAAGGTTCTATGATGATATGCAAGATATTCGTCAATATTGCTATAGGCTAGGGTCATTTCAGGTTCCCTATCCTCAGCTGCCCAAGGAACTAACTGGGGACCTCGGCTCATATTTGGTTTCTAGCCATAAATCAAGGACATTGAGCCTATAATTAGTGATCCTAGAGAAGCTAAATAAGGAGAACCCAAAGAAAAACATATAGGCATCCTCCTGAATATTAACCTTCAGCAAGCGATGAAAGGAGACAGAGACAAAGACCCACATTGGAGCACAGGACTGAAATCTCAAGGTCCAAATCAGGAGCAGAAGGAGAGAGAGCACGAGCAAGGAACTCAGGACCGTGAGGGGTGCACCCACACACTGGTTCAACTTCTTACTTAGCTTCTTTAGGATCACCAATTGTAGACTCCGTGACCCTTATTTATGGCTAGAAACCAATTATGAGTGAGTACATCCCATATTCATCTTTTTGGGTCCGGGTTACCTCACTCAGAATAGTGTTTTCTATTTCCATCCATTTGCATGCAAAATTCGAGAAGTCATTGTTTTTTACCGCAGTGTAGTACTCTAATGTGTATATATTCCACACTTTCTTCATCCATTCTTCCATTGAGGGGCATCTAGGTTGTTTCCAGGTTCTGGCTATTACAAATAATACTGCTATGAACATGGTTGAACAAATGCTCTTGTCCTATGATAGGGCATCTCTTGGGTATATTCCCAGGAGTGGTATTGCTGGGTCCAGGGGTAGGTTGATCCCGAATTTCCTGAGAAACCGAAACACTGACTTCCACAGTGGTTGCACAAGATTGCATTCCCACCAGCAATGGATGAGGGTACCCCTTCCTCCACAGCCTCTCCAGCAAAGGCTATCATTGGAGTTTTTTATTTTAGCCATTCTGACAGGTGTAAGATGATATCTCAAAGTTGTTTTGATTTGCATTTACCTGATCACTAAGGAAGTTGAGCATGACCTTAAGTGTCTTTTGGCCATTTGAACTTCCTCTGCTGAGAATTCTCTGTTCAGTTCAGTGCCCTATTTTTTAATTGGGTTAATTAGCATTTTAAAGTCTAGTTTCCTGAGTTCTCTATATATTTTGGAGATCAGACCTTTGTCTGTTGCGGGGTTGGTGAAGATCTTCTCCCAGGCAATAGGTTGCCTTTTTGTCTTGGTGACAGTGTCCTTTGCTTTACAGAGCTTCTCAGTTTTAGTAGGTCCCATTTATTCAATGTTGCCCTTAATGTCTGTGCTGTTGGGGTTACACATAGGAAGCAATCTCCTGTGCCCATCTGTTGTAGGGTACTTCCCACTTTCTCTTCTATTAGGTTCAATGTGTTCTGACTGATATTGAGGTCTTTAATCCATTTGGACTTGAGTTTTGTGCATGGTGATAGATATGGGTCTATTTTCATTCTTCTACAGGTTGACATCCAGTTATGCCAGCACCATTTGTTGAAGATGCTTTCTTTCTTCCATTGTATACTTTTGGCTCCTTTATCAAAAATGAGGTGTTCATAGGTTTGTGGGTTAAAATTCGGGTCTTCTATACTATTCCATTGGTCGACTTCTCTGTTTTTATGCCAGTACCACACTGTTTTTATCACTGTAGCTCTGTAATAGAGTTTGAAGTCAGGGATGGTAATGCCTCCAGACAATCCTTTATTGTATAGGATTGTTTTAGCTATCCTGGGTTTTTTGTTTTTCCATATAAAGTTGATTATTGTCCTCTCCAGATCTGTGAAGAATTGTGATGGGACCTTGATGGGGATTGCATTGAATCTATAAATTGCCTTTGGTAGAATTGCCATTTTTACTCTGTTGATCCTCCCAATCCAAGAGCAAGGGAGGTCCATCCATTTTCTGGTATACTCCTCAATTTCTTTCTTCAATGCCTTAAAGTTCTTGTCAAATAGATCTTTCACTTCCTTGGTTAGAGTTACCCCAAGATAATTTATGCTGTTTGTGGCTATCGTAAAAGGTGAAGCTTCTCTGATTTCCCTCTCTGCTTCCATATCCTTTGTGTATAAGAGGGCGACTGATTTTTTGGAGTTGATCTTGTATCCTGCCACATTACTAAAGCTGTTTATCAGTTGTAAACGTTCTTTGGTGGAGTTTTGGGGGTCGCTTATGTACACTATCATATCATCTGCAAATAATGAAAGTTTAACTTCTTCCTTTCCAATTCGAATCCCCTTGATCCCCTTATGTTGTCTTATTGCTATTGCTAGAACTTCAAGCACTATATTGAAGAGGTATGGCGAGAGTGGACAGCCTTGTCGTGTTCCTGAGTTTAGTGGGATGGCTTTGAGTTTCTCTCCATTTAATTTGATGTTAGCTGTCGGCTTGCTGTATATAGCTTTTATTATATTTAGGTATGACCCTTGTATCCCTAATCTCTCCAATACTTTTATCATAAAGGGATGTTGAATTTTGTCAAATGCTTTTTCAGCATCTAATGAAATGATCATATGATTTTTTTCTTTCAGTTTATTTATATGCTGGATTACATTGATAGATTTTCGTATGTTGAACCAGCCCTGCATCCCTGGGATGAAGCCTACTTGATCATAATGGATAATATTTCTGATGTGTTCTTGGATTCGGTTTGCCAGAATTTTGTTGAGGATTTTTGCATCGATGTTCATGAGTGAGATTGGTCTATAATTCTCTTTCTTGGTTGAGTCTTTGTGTGGTTTTGGTATCAGAGTAACTGTAGCTTCATAAAAGGAATTTGGCAATGCCTCTTCTGTTTCTATATTGTGAAATACATTAAGGAGTATAGGTATTAGCTCTTCTTGGAAGTTCTGGTAGAATTCCGCATTGAAACCATCTGGTCCTGGGCTTTTTTTGGTAGGGAGGTTTTTTGATAACCTCTTCTAATTCTTCACGACTAACAGGTCTATTTAGATTGTTCACCTGGTCCTGGTTTACCTTTGGTATATGGTATTTATCTAAAAAAGTGTCCATTTCCTTTACATTTTCCAGTTTTATGGCATATAGGCTTTTGTAGTAAGATCTAATGATTCTCTGAATTTCCTCTGTGTCTGTGGTTATGTCCCCCTTTTCATTTCTGATCTTATTAATTTGCAAATTCGCTCTCTGCCGTTTGATTAGTTTGGATAGGGGTTTGTCAATCTTGTTGATTTTCTCCAGGAAC